TGGTTTAAGAGGACATTTGCTGTGCCCTAACTGAGCTCTAAGTGACATCTTGATATTTATTTATTATTAAATTTATATGCGGCCAATGTCACTAGCAAGCAACTCTGGGTGGCTTATAACAGCAATATAAAACATTAAAACAATAAATAAAAGACATTTCCTATTTATAATTTATGTCAATAATTCTTTTAAGAACTGCTATTGCCAGGTCTTCTTCCAGGTGCATTAGCATCTTGTGTTATTTGTCATTTACTTGATGTTACCAAGCAGAGTAAAAATTATCTGTCGGCATAAGATATATCGGACCATGAGGCTGAAAGTGGGCTTTTAGCCAGTATCTGGGTCTACATGGCCATACGCTTGTTTTAGTTTGTAAAAAGCTCTGCCTTCAAATATAGAACAAAGTTAGTCATATATTTTGCTACCTGAAGTACCTTTCTTAAGAAGCCTACTCTCTCCAATTTTACATAGTTGAATCCTGGATTTAATTGTGCTCTGTGCCAGCATCTTACGTTCAATAAACTTTGTTATTGGAATATATGAACAAGTGGCAGCAAGTATTCCCAGCACCACTTTTTATCTATCCTTATTTTCACATTTGGCTTTGGCACTACAGATTCCAGTGATGAGGATGGACCACGTCCCTCCAGTAAAAGGAAGTGCCTGCGAATTGAGGAAGATGAGGACTGAGGGAATCAAAAACGTTCTCCTAGCATGTCAATAAGACCAGTGAAACCAGTCACCTCAAAAACTGGAATGGGCAAGATTGAGAGCAATCAGCATCTTCAGATACTCTGTGCACAACAGTGAAAATATTAGGGAAAGAATACAGAAACAGAACTTCTATATACTCAATTGGGTGGTGGCAGCAGTGGTGCTGGGGGAGGGGCCTTAGGGGGCTGTGGGGAGGCAGCAGGCCATTCAATCAGTGGCAGGCAGGGGGAGAGAGCAAGAGGTGTGGTGGTGCACAGCTTCTGGCATTGCAGGGAGGGAGATGATGGCTATTTGTTACGTGCAGCCAAAGGCCCAGGTCAAACAGTATCTGGGTGAATGGGGGGAGAGCCAGGTCCATTGGCTGTGGAGAATGGTCAGCAGATGGCCAGCAGAGGAGGAAACCTGGCTGACAATCGGCTGAAGTGAGTGGCTGGGAGCGAAGGGGGCACTGCCAAGGGTCAGAGCCTAAAGGTCCCATTCAGCTGCAAAGGGCCTTTTTTCCAACAAACTGACCAGGTCAGCTGGAGCTGAACAGATCCTGATCTCTGGGTAAGGTATTCCCAAGGTCATTGAAATGAAGGATGATTTCCCATTTTTTTGATGCGCCATAAAGTGCACAGTGGGTCATTCCCTCAAGAGCTTTGTGCATGGTCCACTATAGAAGAGGGAAGAATTTAGTTACTCATGAGGAAATGATAATATTCGTGGCAGATGCCCCTGAAATCCTTTATCTAATCCTTTGACTCTTGATTTCAGATGCAGCTCTCTGTGACCCTTGCCCCAAACACCAATATCCCAACAAGGACAAGGACCAATGCATTCCCAAGAAGATCCACTTCCTCACCTATCAAGAGACCCTGGGATACACTTTGGCTTCTCTATCACTTTTCCTTTCTCTCCTCACATCTTCAGTTCTGGTGATTTTCCATAAACATCACGATACACCGATCGTCAAGGCCAACAACCGAGATCTCACCTACCTCCTCCTGGTCTCCCTCCTGCTTTGCTTCCTCTGCTGCTTCCTCTTCATTGGTCGACCCACAAAGCTCACCTGTCTCTTCCGACAAACTACCTTTGCCATTCTCTTTTCCCTCGCGGTTTCCTCTGTGTTGGCAAAAACTGTCATGGTGGTTCTGGCCTTCATGGCCACCAAACCAGGGAACAAATCAAGGAAACTCTTAGGAAAACCACTGACCAGCTCCATTGTCTTAGCCTGTCCCCTGGTCCAAGCACTTCTTTGTGCCACCTGGCTGGTAACCTCTCCCCCATTTCCCAACTTGGACTTCCACTCTTGGTAGGAGAGGCCATCTTGGAATGTAACGAAGGCTCAGCTTTGATGTTTTATGCTGCCCTGGCCTATCTGGGTTTCCTGGCCATTGTCAGTTTCACGGTGGCCTTTTTGGCCAGGAAATTGCCCGACAGCTTTAACGAAGCCAAGTTCATTACTTTTAGCATGCTAGTCTTTTGCAGTGTTTGGATCTCCTTCCTCCCCACCTACCTGAGCACCAAAGGGAAGTCCATGGTGGCCGTGGAGATCTTCTCCATCTTGGCCTCTGGGGCTGGTCTCTTGGCTTGCATCTTTTTCCCCAAATGCTTCATTATCCTACTTAAGCCCCATCTGAATTGTAGAGAGAATATAATGAGGCACAAGAATTTGTGATTTATGTGGGAATTGGAAACTATTTTTTTTATTTGATCTGATTTCTAAAAAATGATGAAATGGAGGTTGGGCTTGTCCATTAAATAATTGAAAACCAAGTAAAGTGACTAATCACAAGTTATCTCTTATCAGCAACTATCCCTCACACTTTTATTTTTCATTCATTTCTTTTTCCTCACTGAGTCCCTAGTGATCAATTTGGAAATAAACACAGATGTTTTAAGGATGTATTTGTATTTGTATTTGTATTTTTTGTATTTAATTGGATTTATATACCGCCCTACTCCCGAAGGACTCAAGGAGGTGAACAGCCAAAAAGATAAAACACACAAACTACAAAATTTAAAAGACAATATAAAACCCATTAAATACTTTGGCCCAAAACAAATTAAAACACCCCTAATGTTTTAAAACAAAATTTGAAAATTTAAAAATTACAATTAATTTTTTATACGCTTCTTTAAAGTTCCCGCTCTGACCATATGGTATCCTTCTTTATTGGCTCCATGGATTGGGAGTGGGTCACACTACATTGTGTTGGTTCTTTTCAATGGTGCAGCTACTCCTCCTTCTTAACATCTACATGATGCTGGTGGGTAAGATCACCCATCGCTGTGGGGTGAGGTATCATCATGTGCTTCCTTTCTTTCTTTGTCTCAGAAGCACTGTCAACCCTGAAGCTGGCCTAACTGTGGCCATTTTCTCCTTGTAGTTTTCCTCTAAGGAGGTTTCTCTTCACATTGCTTGAGGGCTGACACAGCCTAGAGCTAAGGGACAGGGTGGGGTGGAGGTGTAGAGATACCTGGGGTTTGTAGCCTAATTAAAATTCTTTCCCCTGGGAATCAAGGACATTTGTGCAGTGTTCGAAAAAAGGAGACTGAGGCCATCTAGCAACTGGACTACATGCGGATTGGACCATGTGACTGGAGACTCTGGGAGGAAGTGACAAAGTTTTACTTTTCATTGGGTGTAAAACTGGTGGGAACTTAGAGCCGGTTTTCCACCATTTTGATATGTCCCAATAAAATGTTCTTTGAGGAATATGCCTGCCTCAGATTTCTTATTGAAAGGGATGTATTACTTGGAACCTCGACAAGCACCTTTAAATTATAGACCTATAATGTTCAACACTGAGCAGGTAGAATAAGTATAAAAGAGAGAGTGCTTCTGAGACAATGAAAGAAAAGAAGCACATGATGATACCTCACCCCACAGCGATGGGTGATCTTACCCACCAGCATCATAGATGTTAAGAAGGAGGAGTATCTGCACCATTGAAAAGAACCAACGCAATGTAGTGTGATCCACTCCCAATCCATGGAGCCAATAAAGAAGGCTACCATAGCTGATGATATTGAAGGCCACCAGAAGGTCAGGTAGACACCATCCCACTCTTATCAAAGTCCTTCCAAAAGCCCAACCACTATCCCATACCCAGGCCTCAGTCCTGACCAAATGGGGACCAGAAAATCCACTTCAACCAGGTTCCTCTAAAGCTGCTGTGTGACCACCTTCTCCAAAACCTTCCCTACAAAAAGGGAGATTAAACACGGGATGGAAATTGTCCATCAGGGTGGGGTCCAGCAGTTCCTTCTTGAAGAGGGGCAAACCAAGGCCTCCTTCAGAGGTGAAGGAACAATCCCCTCTCTGAAGGATGAATCTCAGAAAGTTAATAACCGGTTCTCCTGAAGTGGTGCGAACTGGCTGAATCCCACCACTGGTCTGAATAGTTATGCCAATGTGATATTTCAGTTTTTTTCTTTTTAATAAATTTACAGACATTTCTAAAATTACTTTTTCATTATGGAGTACTGAATGTAGATTAATGAGAAAAAAAATGAATTTCAACAACTGTAGAATCAGGCTGCAGCATAACAAAATTGACAAACGTGAAGGGATCTGAATACTTTCTGAATGTACTGTAAGTACTATTGCTATTGTCTACGGAGATTCTCAGTCATCCAGGTCATGGTTGTCCCAAAGGTCCTTTTTCAAGAGGCAACTGGACTTCCTGGTTTTTCTTTGAAGACATTTCACTTCTCATCCAAGAAGCTTCTTCAACTTCTTGCATGAGAAGCGAAACATCTTCAAGGAAAAACCAGAAAGTCCAGCTGCCTCTTGAAAAAGGATCTTTGGGACTACTGTTGCTATTATATTCCTTCAGAAAGGTTACATAGGAATGATAAAGCAAATTAAATCATACTATGACTTTACATCTAGAATGTCATAACACGACAGGATGACCTTCCTTTGGCTGCCTCAGCATCTCTACATTTTTCCTACTAATGGGACTCTAACCCATCCTAATTACAGAAATTAACCTCATGTTCCACACTGGTGTTTACAATATTTTACTGCCTCCCTTCACACCAAAGGAAGGAAAAACCATGGTCTCATTTCTGTTATTTTCTCCTCTTTTTTCCAGGGAGCTTTAATTTAGTATCTCCTTTGTATTTCTTCATCTTTTTCATATTTATGCCACGTACAAGCCATCATGCATGACAACCTTGTGCAAAAACGTGTTTTTCATTTTGTACTTAATGTAGACATTCTTTTGAAAGAGGACATGTGTGATACAAAAGAATTACCTTTCTCAGTTGCTCAATGTTCTTACAAAGGGTTCCTGATGTCTTTCCTTGCTTAGGTGTGCGAAGTTCAGCAGCACATTCCAACATGTCCCAATGGCAACAAATTCAAATGCTGGACAAGGTTCACATGGACCAGATAGATTTTCTCTATTCAGATGACACCTTACCCATGGAAGTGCGTCAGTATTTAGCTTACTGGATTGAGGAACAAAACTGGTAATGCTTATTTCTATCCTAGTCATTTCATTGAATTTGTCTTTGTAATTCGTCTTTGATCTGCTGGTTTTTATTATTTATTATTGTGTATATCTCTTCCTATGCAATGGGTTCCCCCCACCCCAGCTATGAATGAAAGTCTTTCTGACATACATCATGTGGTGTCAGCTTACTGATAGATCCTAAATATAGTACAAGTAGTCCTTGATTTACAACAGTTCATTTACTGACTGTTCAGAGTTACAGCAACACTGAAAAAAAGTGACTTAAGATCATTTTTCACACAACAGTTGCAGCATCCCCATGGTTACATGATCAAAATTCAGACCCTTGGCAAATGATTCATATTTATGACGGTTGCAGTGTCCTGCGGTCATGTGATCCCTCTTTTGTAACTTTCTGACGAGCAAAGTCAGCGGGGAAGCCAGATTTACTTAACAACCATGTCACTAATTTAACAACTGCAATATTTCACTTTAACCACTATGGCAAGAAAGGTCGTAAAATGTGGCAAAGCTCACTTAATAAATGTCTCACGTAGCAACAGAAATTTTGAGCTCAATTGTAATCATAAGTCAAGTACTACCTATACAAATGGATGGCACACTGAATCTTGTATTCTGAAGATTGTACACTTGAATAAAAGTATGAAGTCGACTGATTGGTTTTAATGCACTAATAGAACTGTAAAGGAAGTATTTCCCTGGTTTAAACACAATGCGCTACCCAGACGTAGTAACGACTACATATTTATTCAGTCATCTCAAAGAATCACAATAGTAAATTGAGAAGCCTATCCAAAAGTTCTGTCAGATAGATAGATCCTTAAAAATGAGGATTTAAAGATCTAAGAACATTTAATAATTGCAACGCTCTCTACATGGGGCTCCCCTTGAGGAGCACCCGGAGGCTCCAACTGGCGCAGAGTGTGGCCGTGTGGGTGGTAATGGGAGCGACATGGCGTTCCCATGTAACACCTCTCCTGCGCGAGCTGCACTGGCTCCCGGTGGTCTTCCGGGTGCGCTTCAAGGTTTTGGTTACCACCTTTAAAGCGCTCCATGGCTTAGGACCCGGGTACTTGCGGGACCGCCTACTACCACCAATAGCCTCCCACCGACCAGTACGCTCCCATAGAGAGGGGCTCCTCCGGGTGCCGTCAGCCAAACAATGCCGACTGGCGGCCCCCAGGGGGAGAGCCTTCTCTGTGGGGGCACCTACTATCTGGAACGAGCTCCCCCCAGAGATACGGAGGATCCCGGATCTGCGCACCTTCCGCCGCGCCTTAAAGACCTTACTATTTCACCAGGCCGGCCTGGCCTAATTTTCCCCCTCTTTTATAAAAGATTTTTAAAATTTTAAATATTTTAAATATTTTAAATATTTTTAGTATTTATATATTCAATTTTAAATCGGTTTTAAAAGTTTGGGGTTTTAAATTTGTCGGGGCCAAAATTATTTAATTTGATTTTATTCTATTTTTTAAATTTTGTATTGTATGTGTTTTTATTGTTTGGCTGTGCACCGCCCTGAGTCCTTCGGGAGTAGGGCGGTATAGAAATCTAATAAATAAATAAATAAATAAATAAATAAAAATCTGGTAGGTTACAGTCTCTTCACCATTGTCAGAAAGAGCAAAGATATGATAAAAATTATAAGATTATTATGCTTCATTTAAGTAAGCAGGTCTGTGGCGCTTTCTTGCCTTAGCTATAAATTTAGGAACTTCATTAAAATATACCCAAATTAGGGGTTTGACGACTCAAACCTTGCCTCCTGGTAATTGCTTTTACTAGTCCCTACGGTTTTCATGGCAAGTTTTCAGAAGTGGTTTCCCCTTGCCTCCTTCCCAGAGTTGAGAAAGAGGGATTGGCCCAGGGTCATCCAGTTGGCCTTGTGATTAAGGTAAGACTAGGCCTCATAAACTCCCAGTTTCTAATTCAGTGCCTTAACCATGATGCCAATTTTTTTCTCAGGGCCTTATAATACCTAAATTATGACCCAATTGTGATTCCATACTTTTCAGAGTAGAAGACACACTCCCCCCCCCAAAAAAAGAGGGTGGAAATGTTGGTGCAACTTATACACTGAATACAGCCATTTTTGACCACCTAAAACCCCACCCTGCGCATCCCATTTTTGCCAAAAACAGGCCCATTTTTCCGCAAAAACGGGGTGCGCAGAGGGTTTGGGAGGCCTGCAGAGTGCTTCTGGGGGCTGGGGAGGGCAAAAATGCAACGTGGGGTTTTGGGAGGTGAAAAACGGGCCTGTTTTTTGTGAAAACGGGCCCATTTTTGCGAAAAACGAGACACGCAGTGGATTTGGGAGGCCTGCAGAGTGCTCCTGGGAGCCGGGGAGGGCAAAACCTTTTTTTTTTTTCTTATTTTCCTCTTCAAAATCTTGGTGCATCTTATACTCCGGTGCATCTTATAGTCCAAAAAATATGGCAAGACTTGGTTTGCTTGGTTCCATTTTCTGACTACAAACAATTTCCTTCCTTCCCCCTGCCCTCCAAAACTACATGGGATGCCTTGTTTTGGCAATGACTTTCTCTTTATCTCAGCCAAGGCCGCCTGAGTCTTGCTTTGCATTCTCTCCATTATCTGCTTTTAGGAGCCAAGCAGTAGAACTGGACCCCTCATTAGCCTGCTGTCTTTTCCATACCATGTTGTCTTCACTGGATGATCAGATCGGACGTCTGGCGTTGGGCGAAGAGAACAATGCTAACATGTTACTTAAGCACAACTTGCGCCGTGCCAAACTGCAACTATGGGTATGCATAGAACACACATGTGTGTGTTCCTGCACAGTGGGAAAGGGTCAGAATGAGATGGGAGCTTCCCTTCAAGATACCAAAACAGGAGGAAAAACTGAAAGATAAAAGAGCTTGACATTTTTTAAGTGCAACCATCTATGTCAATGTTACTTAACCATGGCCACTTTAAGATGTGTGGACTTCAACTCCCAGAATTCTCCAGCCAATCATGCTGCCTGGGGAATTCAGGGAGCTGAAGTCCACACATCTTAAAGGGGCCAAGGTTGAGAAACACTGACCTATGTTTCCACACTGACTATGTAGTTTAGACCCTTATCCTTGCTGATCAAGAGAGACAAAATGTGTGCATTTATTGGGAACTCTTAGTTGCCATGTGGGCCTTTCCTACACTCATATGATGGCCATGAGGAGGACCACAGTGGCACAGTGGTTAGAATGCACTACTGCAGGCTACTTCTGCTGCCTGCTGGCTGCCTGCAATTTGGCAGATCTCACCAGTCTCAAATTTGACTCAGCCTTCCATCCTTCCGATGTCGGTAAAATGAGGACCCAGATTGTTGGAGGCAATCTGCTGACTCTGTAAACTGCTTAGAGAGGGCTGTAAAGCACTGTGAAGTGGTATGTAAGTCTAAATACTATTGCTATCCTGGTGAGATTTCATACCTCAGGTAGGAAAAAACCTAGTTAATGACAGTGGAGATGTGCTTAGATTATATCTTGTTTTTCCACTAGCGCTACCCAGATGACCTGAAAGTAGTGATTCCTAAAAGGTCTGGTGTTCTTGGCAGTAGATGATATAAAAAGTTTTTATTTGGGTATAGCTTTACACTTTTCTATCTTGCTGTGCCTTGCCTTCCAGAGCAAGTATCAAGAACATCCCCAGGAATTAGCCATTGCCATTGATGCTCTATTGAGACAGGAGAGAGCAATTCTGTCCGAAGCTTTTTCTACCTCTCAGGTAAAAAGCAAAAACCTGCTTGGTCTTCTTCTGCCTGCACAAAACAGAGTTTTTTCCATCTAGCAATACTTGGTCAGCCTTGATTTATGTCAATCTCATCCCAGCGAAGGAAAAAAAATCCTCTCCCAGTTTATTTATTTTTTAATTTAATTTAATTTAATTTTTTAATTTAATTTAATTATTTTATTTTTTATTTTATCTTTTTATTATTTTATTTATTTTATTTTATTTTATTTTATTATTTTATTTTATTTTATTTTATAATTCCCAGTTTATTTTATTTTATTTATTAAATTTCCGTGCTGCTCATTCTCCCCTACAGGGTTGGTTCTTGATGACAAATTGTCAGAAGGTGACAATTTCCCCAAGAGTTTGTTTTAAACCAATAACCAACCCATAGCCAACTGCAGTATGAATTGGTTTATAAAATTTAGTCCTCGACTTACAACAGTTCATTTAGTGACTGTTCAAAGTTACTATGGCACTGAAAAACCATCTTTCATCGTTACGAACTTTGCAGCGTCCCCATGGTCACGTGATCACGAAATTCAGGCGCTTGGCAACTGGTTCATACTTTTGACCATTGCTGTGTCCCAAGGTCACGGGATCCCCTTTTGCAGCCTTCTGACAAGCAAAGTCAATGGGGAAGCCAGATTCACGTAACAACCAGGTTACTAACTAATCAACTGCAGTGATTCACTTAACAACTGTGACAAAAAAGGTCATAAATCGGGACAAAACTCACTGAACAAATGTCTCACTTAGCAACAGAAATTTTGTTCAATTTTGTTTGTAAGTCGAGGACTACCTGGAATAAATGCCCATCCCATCAGGGAAAAAATCTCCCAATTTATTTATTACATTTCTATGCCACTCATCTCTCCTCCAAGATGACGCTGGATGACAAATTGTCACAAGGTGATAATTTCCCCAAGAGTTTGTTTTAAATCAGTAACCAACCTATAACTCCTGAAGTATGAATTATTATTGTGGTGAAGGCAGCTGTTGCTAAACCTGGAAATGGTTAGGCATCCCTCTCTGTATGCAGACTTATGCAAATTATGATATACATACGATGAATTCAATAAAATTAGATCGCTTACAGCAGTGTATTTGACTAGTCATGTGTTCAGTGAGGATGGAATGATGAAGTCATGAGACTTAGCGTTACAAAGACAATAGCTTTTTGAATTAATCAAGGGCTATCTTCTTGGAACTGATGTGTTATTTTGCTGGATGCTCTGACTTCTAGTGTTTTAATCCGTATTTATTATGGCCAAATGTTTCTGTGATTGTGGAAAGAGTTTGCTTTTCCTGGGAAGGTGGACTTAGGATAGGAGTAATTTGCAAACACTAATGCTATATTTTCTAATCCACCAGCATCATACTTCCAGCAATAATTTTAGTACATTCTCCTCTCCCGAGATCTGCACCAAAGCAAAATGCATCCCAAGCTTTTAATTTTACATTTGTTTTGGATGAACATTTTCACTGGGCAATTCAACACTGAATTGGAAAGGGAAATCCAGAGACAGGAGAAAATGTTGTTGTTGTTGTACTGTGATAGGGAAAAATAGGAATAAAAGATTGATATAAAATAGCAGTGCTGTAAAGGTAGGGGGAAAGATCTGAGGATCTGAGCAAGATACAGGGTGTCTCTTAACAACAGGAACTGGGGTGGGGGGAAGCCCCTTCAGTGATGATCCATACAAATGAGCTAGCAATGTTTGTGTGTTTTCTCTTCCTCTCTCTTCAGGCAAGTGTGGATCCTCCATCTGATTCCCCTGTGCTTGCCAGCCATCAGCATAAGATTGAGGAGCGGCTAATGGAGATGCAAAAGACAATTCACGTGAGAATGGGAGGCCTGGCAGTGCTTTTTAACTCTCTCCTGCAAAATTCAAGGTTGCTAGATACATAATTTCAGGTTGAGGCAAGCCACTTTATACTGTGTTTTTCCGAAAATGCAACCTACCCCAAAAGTAAGTCCTAGCTTGATTTTTTACACGTGTGCCCAATATAAGCCCTACCCCCCAAATAAGCCCTAATTAAGACTCCGCCCACTCCAGGGTGCACGGGTAAAATTAAGGTAGAGAGGGGATGGTGGGGCGGAGTGGCCCTACTACTTACCTTCGGACAGTTGCAGCCAGGCCTCATACACCCCAACACCTGCCTTGCTGGCCCATTTCTTCTGCATCCAGCAAGGCTTTCCTGAAGGCCTCTGTAGCCAATAACAGAGCTCTGGATCGATCCAGAGCTCTGTTATTGGCTGCAGAGGCCTTCAGGAAAGCCTTGCCAACCACAGAAGTTCCTGAAGGCCTCTGACAGCGAAAAGAGGCTGGGGGTGACGTGCCAGTGAGCTGAGTCCACGGACAACATCCCCCCTGAAAATAAGACTTGGTGCCTTTTTTTGATGGCAAAAAAATATAAGACAGGGTCTTCTTTTCGGGGAAACACTGGTACTAAGCCATGGTCTGCTTGAATTGTGCTTGAGCTAACACTGGTTGAGTTAATGCAATTCTAAACCCTAAATCAAGGTTTGCAAACTACACGAGCTGGATTCACAACTGTAGTAATCTGCAAATGTTATAACTTAGCGTAATATGCATTAGACCACTGGCTTTTCAACTAAGCGTGATTAAAACAAAACATGGAAATGTGTGTGATGTTTAAACCAAACAACATTCATTTTTATTTTATTATGATTCTATTCCTGTATTCGTACTTCATTTATATAACAGATACAGGAAGGTGAAATTAATTTTGCACCTATTCAAATTATATATTAGAACAGTGTCCCCAACCCTTGGTCCGCAGCCCACTACCGGGCCAGGCAAGAGGCAGGCCGATGCACATGCATGCAGGCAACTCCACTCGTACGAGCAGCGGGTTGGTGCACACACAAGTGGAGTTGCATGTGTGCGTGTGCCGGCCTGCCTCTTTCACAGCCCAAATAGGCTACAACCTTGTAGTCAAGCTGGTGTGCTTGCACATGTGCACAAGACCGCCGTTCGAACAGGCTGGAACGGCTTCCCCCCCACTCCAAGCTAGGCCGTCAGGCCACTAAGATTGAGGATGGCTGTATTAGAAGGATATTCCTATTGTTTAGTTTGTGTTCATTACTAATCAAACCCTTGAGGAATGAGGGGCTTAAGGGTAAAGACAGGAGGAATTTGTCTCCCAGATATCTCTCATTTGCATCTTGAAACATATACCAGGAAGAGGGTCAAAATTAGTTCAGAGTTTCTTTGGGGGTTACGAAGAGTGGAAATGGAAACAGACATTTCATTTTGAATAGGAAGCAAAAAACAAACAAACCCAAAAAACTTAATTTTATTGGCACAAACTTGTTTTTGGATGCTCCAAATGGAGTGCAATGCTGTTCCTGATTGGCCTCCTTCTCCAGCGCGCTGCTTGGAGAATCCAAAGCGTGGGATTATTCTCAGAGAATTAGTCAGAGACTGAGTGTATGTTCCTTTAAATTTTGTCTTGGTTCTGCCTCCTCTGCTCGGCTGATGTCAGTTTTATTCACTCAGTCGAGCTGAAGAGACTGGTTTTTTGGCTTGCTTTGGAGAATAGAATTATTGCTTCCGAACGCTTTGGATTCGGACTTTTTTTTTTTGGACTGATTTCTTTCTACTAAGAGATTCTGGACTGTTTGATCGTGTTAAGGGCGGTGAGTCAACCCAGGGCCCTCGGGTCTGACCTTCCAAGACCCTAATTGACAAGTCAGGCACCTGTTCGGAGCTCTGTCCCGGCTGGGCCATCTCTGTTTGTTTCTGCCACTGGTGAGTGAGTCGGTTCCCCGGCTTGCCGGTACAACCGCCACCACCATCATTTCTACATTTCATTGCTGACCTGATTGGCGGCCTCAGAGTCCCTGCTTGAAGCCTTAGTGCCTTGCTAGCGCGATTGATCCGGAATGTTAAGGCTCCCTGTTGGAACTTTTGGATCCGACCCCACCCCCCTGAACTATGCGGGCAGCTTCAGCTCCGCCATCATCTGCCTCCTGCCCCGCCAAACGCTGCTCATCAAAAACTTGGGACGAACAACGCAGGCATCGGGCGTTGGAACGCCAATTTGGCCTGGCTCAGAAGAAGGTCTTGGAGGCGGATCATCATCCTGACACTCGTGCGAGGGTTACCTGACATGATTTGCCCAAGAGAAATCAGGTTGTTTCAGCGGCATTGCCCCCTCAGCCTCAGATCACAGTCTGCTGTCCAATCCGCTCCTGAGGCGACCTTTACCCCCACTGCCACAGGTCTCCGTCAAGTGGGGAATTTACATTCTGATCTGACCCTCAATGTCCAATCGATTGTGGCATCAACGATATCCAGCCTCCTTGCGGCAGGCTCCCTACCTCCTGCCTCTGCTCTGGGGTCGCAACCTCCACCTCAGCCCCAAGTAACAGCCCCTTCTGCTCTGGTGTTGCAACCTTCACCTCAGCCTCAGGTCACAGCACCTTCTGGCCACTACCAAGACTATGACTGTTATCAGCACTCAATCCACAGTGAGGATTCCAATTGGGACGACAAAGATCATAGAGAGTCAGACTTCTCTGAGGACGAGGGTCTCCTGCCGGACCAGCCAACACTTATCAGGATTTTCCGTCCGTCCCTCTTTAAATCTCTTCTGCATAAAGCCAAGGTCTCAACTAATTTGACAATTCCTCCTGACTAACAGGCCGCCTCTACTTCTTCCCTCGCTTCTGAGGGTCTATTCAATGTTCAAACAGCAACACAAGACTTTATACCTTGTCCTCAACTGTTCTCGGAAGTCATACAGAGGCCTTGGGGCCTTCCAGGTTCCTTGGCCGCTCCAAGTAGTCTGGACAAGAGGCTGTACTGCTCAGCTCCTAATCTTCAGGACATGTTACAGTTGCCTTCTGTAGATGCCCCCGTAGCCCAATTGACATCGTCGTCGGTTTTCACTAACGACGTTGCTGACGGTCTGCGAACTGAGGACAGGAAGACGGAACTCCTCTTGCACAAGAATCACCAAGCAGCCGCGTGGGCAATCAGGGCGGCCACCTCGGCATCATTTTTCAACCGTGCCTCCCTCATCTGGTTTCGCCAGTTGCAGGACCGCCTACCTCCGGACGATAAACGGCTGCACCAAGACATTAACAAATTGGTGGCGGCCGCGGAATATTCAGCCAATGAGTCCTTGGACGTGGCCAAGTTCGCCTCCAGGTCCCTCACTGGATGCCTGTTCCGGGGCCCGCCTCGAGTGACAATCACCACAGATGCTTGCTGGGGGGGGGGGCGCCCATCTTCAGTCCCACATTGCACAGGGCCGCTGGTCCCCTATGGAGCTAGCCAACGACATAAATTGGCTCAAGCTCCGTGCGGCCAGGCTCGCCCTCGTGGAGGGTCAACATGTCCGGATACTCATGGACAATGTGACGGCGAAGGCGCATGTCAGTCACGAGGGAGGAACGCAGTCCGTGCCCCTGATGCAAGAGGCAATCAGACTACTCCCTGGGCAGAACAGCACACGCTGTCGTTGACAGAGGAGCATATCTCCGGGACCGACAGTCTTCAGGCAGACTGGCTCAGTAGGCAGCAGATCGATCACGTGGAATGGCGCCTCCACCCGTCCCTCTTCCGCGAGCTGTCGAACAGTTTCGGTCGCCCAGTCCTCGACCTGTTTGCGCATCCAAACAACGCACAACTGCCGAGGTTTTTCTCCCAGTTCCAGTGTCCCACGGCAGAAGACGTCGACGCCTTTCGCTGTCCCTGGCCTCAGGGCCTGCTTCATGCCTTCCCTCCCCTCCCGCTCCTGCCGAGGGTGATTCGAAAGATCCTTCTGGAAAAGGCGGATGTCCTTGCCGCTCCGCACTGGCCGCGCAGGTCATGGTTTGCAGACCTGGTGAGCCTCTCGGTCGCCCCTCCCTGGCGGATTCCAGAAGACAGGATTTCTCTCAGCCAGGGGGTCATACTGTATCCAGAGCCCCAATGGCTGCAGTTGACCATCTGGGACTTGAGAGGATCCTCCGGACTAAGGACAACCTTTCAGGGAGCGTGATCTCTATCATCCAAGCCTCCAGGCGGCCTCCTACGACAAGGATATACAACGCTACCTGGCATTCCTTCTGTTCCTGGTGCGCAACCAAGCACACTGATCCAACTACTGCCTCTGTCTCCGATGTGTTGGAGTTCCTGCATGCTGCTTCGATAAGGGCCTTGCACCAAGCACGCTCCGCAGACATGTGGGAGCCCTGGACATAGTACTCTCCAACAGCTATGAGAGCTCCCTTTCTCGCAACCCGCGGATTCGGTCCTTCCTGAGCTGTGCTTCCAACGTTCGCCCTCCCGTGGTTCACCGTTACCCTACCTGGGATCTTCCGCTTGTGCTCCAGACCCTTACCTCCTTTCCCTTCGAACCATTGGGATCCATCAGGCTCCGTCTCCTAATGCTCAAAGTTGTCTTCCTGGTTGCGATAATGTCTGTGTGCCGGATTTCGGAGTTAGCGGCCCTGTCAGTGAGAGATGATCTGTGCGTCTTCCATTCTAATAGGGTCGTTCTCCGGATGGACCCCTCCTTTCTGCCCAAGGTCAACTCGCTATTCCATCGTGTGCAAGAACTGGTCCTCCCGGATTTCTGCCCCAACCCGAGACCTCCGTTAGAAGACCAGTGGCATACCTTGGACGTTAGGAGGGCCCTCCATCAGTACATCAAACGAACTGCGCCATTTCGCCGTTCCGAAGCCCTATTTGTCTCGTTCCTTCCGGTGTCACTGGGCAAGAAAGTTTCCTCTACTACCATAGGGAGATGGCTGAAGGCCTGCAGTTGTAAGGCTTACACCCTGAAAGGCAAGCCCCTCCTGGGAAAGATCCTGCCGCACTCTACGAGAAGTACATCTACAACCGCAGCATGGGTGACTCAAGCCTCCGTTTCTGAAATCTGCAGAGCAGCCACATGGACGACCTTATCTCCATTCATCAGACACTATAAAATTGACTCCTTTGCTTCGGCTGAAGCTTCCTTTGGTCGCAGGGTGTTGCAATCCGTTACTGCTTCGGAAACTGCCCCGGACCTTTCTGTTGTCCCCCCCCCCCTAAAGAAACTTGCTTGGGTATATCCCACGCTTTGGATTCTCCAAGCAGCGCGCTGGAGTACGGACGTTGCTTACCTGAACGTCCCTTCTAGACGCGCTGCTGGAGAATCCAACCTACCCTGTTCAGTCTGTCCTTCAGGTCCGGTTGGCTCCGATTGCTGGTTTACCGTTTGGGCTCCTCATTCTCTCTTCGTGAACAAAACTGACATCAGCCGAGCAGAGGAGGCGGAACCAAGACAAAATTTAAAGGAACATACACTCAGTCTCTGACTAATGCTCTGAGAATAATCCCACGCTTTGGATTCTCCAGCAGCGCGCCTAGAAGGGACATTCAGGTAAGCAACGTCCGTTCGTACTGATTGTATCCCTGCTGTTGGTTCTAGCTGTGCATCACAGAATGGAGATTCATCCTGAGGTCTTGTCTTTTCAGTGTGTCCTACTAATTGTTATACTTGTTCAAAAATCCTTGCTTAGTCTGTACTTTGACATCTGTCTGTATTCCACAGGGTCTGAAATGTTCAATTGAGCAACACGACGATCTACAGGATAATTTTGATTTTTCTTTTCGGACACATAAACATTTAGGTGAGGAAACTTAATGAGAAGCTCCTTTATTTGGAAACCATGATGGGAAAAGGACAGGGTTTTTTGTTCGTTGATGATGGATGATCAAGTCTTTCCAAAGAAATTGCTCAAGAGTCTTGAGGGACTCATTGTCCAGACAAGTCACTTAAAGAGCTCTGCAATATATTGAATAATGTCATCCAAGGATACAGCTTTTTAATGGTACACTTCTCCCTTGAAAATCACCTGAAAATAGCTAAAGCTATTTATGTATTTGCAATAGTGGTGAATATCTGTAGCTCGGGTGTAGGATAAGGGTGAAAGTTTGTTCTTCGAGCATGTGGGTTGGTTTCAGAACATTTTGTTAGCAGGCTAGGTAACCTCTTCAGCAGAGTTTAGGGGATTATCTAGCCTGGTAAGGAAATGTTTGGAAACCAATCCACAAGCTTGGAGAATGAACCTTCACTCCTCCCTCCATTTATGTATGTCAGCCAGTTTGAGACTTTAGGTCCTGCAGCGCAGCCACGACTCCAAGCTGGCTGGACAATATGCTTATATCTATTATCCAGACCTGATTTAGGAAGAATGGGTAGCTCATTTTTTTTGATCAGACACTTATCAAGGACACCCAAACTTTTGTTTTACAAGTGGAAAAATTATTGATCTATTGGACATTAGTTCCCATTATGCTTTACCATTAGTTCTGCGGTGTGTAACTAATGAGAGTCCAACCATCTTAATGGTTTCTTTCAATAAATATTTGTACCAGACCCATGTTGGTGTTTGGAAAGGGACAAATGGGGCAACTCTTTTGGATTGAGGAGGAGGCTTGCTTGCCAACATTAAACTTTGCAGAGCTGGTGTTAAACAATACTACACACTCGCCGCTCTGATCTATGGGCTTAGAGGGAGTTCTTGGCCAGCACGGTGCCAATATATGAATTGGAATATTGAGTAATTTTGAAATGAATCAGATTACAGATATTTGGATTATTTACCCGTGTTTGCCCAAAAATAAGACCAGGTTTTATTTTCTTTTGGGCCCCAAAATGAGCTTATTTTTTGGGGGTGTCTTATTCCATGTAGGGGAGGCCCACTAGTTCTGTTTGCTCACGGCCACAAAGGAGCAGGAGGCTGAGTGATGTACTGGTTCCGCAGCCACGAGGTGGAGGGGGGGGGTGTAGCTGCCCCATGCGCCCCGCACCAGCTTACCTCAACACCTCCACAGGCAATCAACACCCCGACACCTGTCTCGCAGCCATGGCATCAGCATGCCCCTCAGCCTCCTGTTCCGTTACGGCCGCAAGCAAAAGTGGGCCGGCAGCCATGTGGGCTCCTGTTGGCACATGGCTGCGAGTGCTGCTACCGCCGCAAGGCAGGTGTCGGGACATGGATGGCCTGGCTGCAGGGGCTCTAAGGTAGGCTGGTGCAGGACACGTGGGGCAGCTCCACCCCAGCCTCACTTTGCGGCTATGGCAGTGTGAGCAACCAGACGGAATGGATGGCCGGCAGGCTCGTAAGTAGGGTTTATTTTGGGCGTAGGGCTTATATTAGGCACAATTTAAAAAAAAACATGCTAGGGTTTATTTTCAGGATAGGTCTTATTTTCGGGGAAACAGGGTACATAAACTTGGTGGTAGAGAAAGATGCCGCTTCACCCCAATCCAGATGTTTGAAATTTGCTAGAGGATGTCATCCTTGGGCCCTACTGCAGATCCTGTTGTACCGCAGTCGGCTTAGGGAGTCACCCATCCTAAACAGCTCCTTATTAAAGATGAATCCTGCTTCCTGTCCGTTCTTTTCAGTTAGAAAGTTCAGAGGGACTCAATGGCTCCCTCAAAACCATTGACAGCTTTGGAGAACCAGCACTCTTGGCAATCAATAGGAGAACAGGTTCAGCGTCCGTCCGTCCTCTAAAGCACCCTCTTTTCTTGCAGAAAGCACCACTCCCGCTAGTGAACCTATTCGGGCCAAAATGATTGAGAAGTTACAAAGCATGTTAAATAAGTTGAACCACTTCCGCCAGGTGAGTATGAGTGCTGGCCGGTACAGTAGCATGATTTTTCCCTCTTCTTTCATAGCTTTTTTTTTTTTTTAATGAAGTTATAATTTCAGTAAATTTCAAATGCTGCAAAAGCAGGGGATTTGAACTTACTAATGCAAAAACATACTGCATGTCTTAAAACAGGGGTCCCCAAACTTGGCAGCTTTAAGACTTGTGGATTTCAACTCCCAGAATTCTCCCTAATAGCTGGCATAGCATAGCTGGCTGGAGAATTCTAGGAGTTGGAGTCCACAAGTCTTAAAGCTGCCAAGTTTGAAGACCTCTGTCTTAAAAGATGCAATTACATTTTTTAAATCAAAACCATACATGGAAATGCACAGGTAGTCCTTCATTATGACTTAACTATTATTCAAAGTTATGACAGGTGCCGTCCCCCCCCAAAAGCTACTTACGACTTGGTTTTGAAGTCCCAATGTCACCCTCGCCTGTCCCATACAGTCACATGACCTGGGTGCTCAACAACCAACCAGCTCAGTTTGCAGTGCCCGGAGGACACATGACTGTGATTTATTACAGTTTTGCTAGAAACTGTCATTTAGTTCTGGTTTCTGGCAAAAACTGCCCCATAACTAACAATAGCTTTGCTTGAGGACTTAACAACCACTGCAAAAAATGGCCATAAATCAAGTCTGGTCCTGTCACCCGCTTTATGACTGTTGTGGCCCGTCAGCAGCCTGTGCAGCTAGTAGCTGATTCTGACAGTGAGGAGGCTGGTGTGGTGCAGCTGGCACTTGAGTCAGACAATGAGGAGGCTGGAGAAGATGTGGTGCCAGAGGCGGGGATTCAGCCAGGGCCTTCAGAACCTCCAGAAGCTCCCATAAGTGAAGAGGAAGAAGAGGAGGAGCCTTTTCTCGATGCACAGGCGCACAGAGCTGCCAAAAGGCAGGAGTGGTTCCTCAGGAGGAGGTCTCCTCGAGAGTAAGGCTTGGAGCTAATTGGCCACTCCCTTAGCCTATTTAAGGAAGGACGACGACTGAGGCAATTTGCAGGGAACAACTTCTTTCACTCCTTCGCATCCTGATCTTAGTTCTCTTATCAGTTTCCTGCAAATTGCTTCTGGGCTTTCTGCCAACCATAGTAAGATTACGATGATTTATTCTTTGGATTCTTGTAGGCTGTTAAGAAAGTTAATTAACAGCCTTTATTTGAAAAAGACTGATTTAATTTAGTAAACTAAGGTTGTACAGACTTTGTGTGTGCTGCGTTCTTTGGGGTCCGTAGTTGGGGCAGAACAATGACTGTCACAACTTACAACTGTATTTGCCAGGTGTGAGAGGACAGGTTGCCTGCAACATAGCCAGAACCTGGGCTGCTGGTATTTTTGTCCCTTTTAAGATTTCTCCCTAGCCATCCCAGTACAGGTAGACCTCAACTTGACCACAATTGAGCCCAAAATTTCTGTTTCTAAGTGAGGCATTTATTAAGTGAGTTTTGCCTCATTTTTTTGACCTATCTGGCCACAAGTCCTTATGGGAATCACTGTAGTTTAGAAGTTAGTAACCTGATTGTTAAGTGAATCTGGCTTCCCCATTGACTTTGCTTGTCAGAAGGTTGCAAAAGGGGATCCTGTGATACTGCCGCCATCATAAATATGAATCATTTGCCAAGGGTGTGAATTTTGATCACATGATCATGGGGATGCTTCAAAGGTCATACCTGTGAAAGCATGTCATCAGTCACTTTTTTCAGTGCTGTTGTAACCTTGTATGGTCACTAAAGGAACTGTTGTAAGTCGAGGCCTACTTGTAATATGTGGTATAAAAGCTGAGCAGAGAGGCAGCCGGATGTTGTAGTGTTGATATAGGAGCGAGAGAGAAGATGGCTTGTGTATGTTTGGGAAAATAAAACAGTCTGAAGAAGCCCAAAGGAAATAGTTACAGTTATAGTTCTCCAGAAGTAGAACTCACAAAGAGAAGTAGTGGAGGAACAGGAGTTGTAGTAGAATTGGGGAAGTGGTAGTGCTTGAGTGAGTATTATTAGCCTTTGAGTGCTTGAGTGCGTGTTGCCTAGAGGCCAGGTGTGTTTGGGTTGATTCTTGGGGGTTTTGAAGCCCACTGACCTGGGCACATATAACAGAACCTGTGAGAGGCTTAATTACAGTTGTAAATTGCCGATTACCTGTTAACTATTGATAACAAAATTATTTATGATAACATATTAATTCATCATTGCCTTTTTTTTTTTTCATTTTTATATACTGTTTTCACGTTTTCGTATTATATCTGTACACTGCCCAGAGTTGCTCTGTGAGGGAGGTAAGCTGTTTTAAAAATTGATAAATAAAATAAAATTAATTAATTAACACATTCAGCTTGTTGTTGTTTTTAAAATCAGGAGATACTGAGCCAAATCCATGAACTTCTCGGACGCTCTGATACTTTAAGAGATTTACTTCTGGAGGAGGTATCAGCATGGCAAAATCGTCAGCGGTTAGCTTGCATTGGAGAGAAATGTGATACCAGCTTATGGCATCTGGAAGAATGGTAAGTGGTAATGATGGCAATGATGGCAATGATCCATACGGGCCAGTTACTTGTTTTTAATGAGACATTTCTATACAAAGATCCCTTTGAAGAAATGGATTACAGCAGGGGTGTCAAACTTGAGGCCCGGGGGCCTGATCCGGCCCACAGAGTGCTTAGATCTGGCCCACAGGGCTGCCCTTAGAAACAGTCTTAGATCCGGTCCACGGGGCCTCTGCCAGCGAAAACAGAGCTCAGGAGGGCCGTGTGCAGCCCTCCCGAGCTCCGTTTTAATTGGCAGAGGGTTGCAGGAGGCCATTGCAGCTGAAAACGAAGTTCGGGAGTCTGTTTTCACTGGCAGCGCATTCGGGCCGCCACAGGCGCCCCCGACACGAGTGATGTCAAGCTGGCCCTCCCCATCCTGGCTATGCCCCCCCTTGCCCCCTTGAGGTCAAATACAACCCTAATGAAATCGAGTTTGACACCCCTGCATTATAGTAAATCCTCGGCTTACTACCATTCATTTGGCGACTGTCTAAAGTTACAAGAGCATTGAAAAAAGTGACTTGTGACTGGTTTTCCCATTTACCTCTGTTGTAACATCCCCATGGTAACATGAACAATATTCGGGTACTCGACAACAGGCATGTATTTATGACATTGCACTGTCTTGGGGTCAGGTAATCATCACCTTTTGTAACTTTCCCAGTTGGCTTCTGACAAGTAACATCATTGTGGGGGAAGCCAAGTTCGCTTAACAACTGCGAGTGATTCGCTTAGCAAAACGTCACAAAATGGGCTACAACTCACTTTCTTCCCTGAATTCCCTATTGAAGCCGTTGAAAGGAATTGCAGTGTATTTAATTTCAGGCTTCCCTGTTCAGGACTTCGAGTTAGGTTTTTTGTTTGTTTGTTTTGACTTGTAGATCTCTGTGCCCCTGTTCACAGCTTGTTCATGGAGAGTCCTGTTATCCACTGATCTTCCTCCTGAATTGCAGGTTTACTAAGAAGGCTGAGATCCTCTTCCACTTGCTGCACCTATTAAAGATGCTGACTGGGATGTACGACAAGGTGACTTACCAGACAGATCCCCTCAAGAGCCAGTTGCCCCTTCTGGTCAGGCGGCTTCAGGAGCAAATAATCTGCCTCTTGAAAAGGTGAACAAGGGAGGGGAAGGATTCTGCCAGTAAGGAAATGTTACAGGGAGGTGGGCAAGAATGGATGGGTTGTAGAAGACTTAACGTTGCTCTGTTCTTGCCAGTGCTTTTGTGGTGGAGGTACAGCCTAAGATGCAAGTTCCCAATCAACGTCCATTGGTGCTAAGAACCAACCACAAGTTCTCCGTCCGGGCCAGGTGAGGAAATCTTTATTCTAACAGTGGCCATTCCTGGAGACTGTTTTGGGCAGGAAACTGAACATTTTAGAAGGGGCCAGATCAAAGGATGTGGGTCCCATATATTTATAGCATAGGTGTTGTTAGTGTTATTATCATCTTAGGGAATTACTGTACACGGGAGCTAGTTCATCTGTGCTCAGAAAAAGTAGCTTTTTCTCAGAACAGCTAGGTTATTTAGTATGTATTTATATAACCACCAGTCTCAAAAAGGTGAGTCTGGGTGGCTTATAAGTAAGACAAATTTAAAAAACCGTTGTTGTTGTTAGTTGCAAAGTCGTGTCCGACCCATTGCGACCCCATGGACAACGTTCCTTCAGGTCTTCTTGTCCTCTACCATCCCCCAGAGTCAATTTAAGCTCATGCCTACTGCTTCAGTGACTCCATCCAGCCACCTTGTTCTCTGTCATCCCATTCTTCTTTTGCCCTCAATTGTTCCCAGCATTAAGTTCTTCTCCAGTGAGTCCTTCCTTCTCATTAGATGGCCAAAGTATTTTGAGTTTCATCTTCAGGACCTGGCCTTCTAAAGAGCAGTCAGGGTTGATCTCCTCTAGGACTGACTGGTTTGATTGCCTTGCAGTCCAAGGGACTCGCAGGAGTCTTCTCCAGCACCATAGTGTAGTGTAGTGTAGAGTAGAGTAGAGTAGAGTAGAGTGCTATGATGGCGAACCTATGGCACGGGTGCCACAGGTGGCACGCGGAGCCATATCTGTGGGCACGTGAGCGTTGCCCTAGTTCAGCTCCAGCACGCACATGCGCACTGCCCAAGTGATTTTCAGGCCTTCGGGGCCCACTGGAAGTCGGGAAACGGGCTGTTTCCAGGCCTCTGGAGAGCCTCCGGGGGGGGGTGAGGAAGGCCATTTTCGCCCTCCCCAGGCTCCTAGAAGGCCTCTGGAGCCTGGGGAGGGCAAAAGATGGGCCTACCAAAAGCAGGGGGACCGCGGGGGGGGGAATGGGTTGCGCGCACATGTGGAGGGGTGCATTGAATTATGGGTGTGGGCACATGTGCGTGACACCCCTCCCCCCGCGCAACCCCTGCTTTTGGCACGCGATGGCAAGAAGGTTAGCCATCACTGATATAGTGAGTATAACAACTTAAAAATATATATATAAAAGCAAAGAAAACATCCCCTCATAGTAAATTCCTAAAATGCATAGCTGAGGTAATTGTATCTAATGATCGCACCAATGCAACATTGTGCCAACTCTGCCACGATCCCTGGTCCTCATGCCCATTGGCAAATCCATGTTTTCAAGGTCTTTGGAAAGGCCATCAGGCTCAGGTCCATTCTAGTCTCCAGGTGCAGGATGTCCTAAGGGGCAGACCCCATGACAGGAAAGGATGTTTTCCAAGGCTTCATCAAGTGGCACTCCTTAATGGACAAGACCCACAACGTGTGTCTCCTGCTGGATCTGATGGGATGTGTAGATGTAGCTTGGGAGAGGTAGTCTCAAATAAGCTAGTCCCATGTCATGTAGGCTTTATTACTAGTACCTTGAATTGAACCGGGACTCAAACTGGCAGCCTTTGCAGCTCATGGACAAAATATGTAACATGTTCAAATTATGTGGTATGCATAACTAACTGCCTGTGTGCTGGATTTTGAACCAGTTGAAGCTTCCAAATATCTGTGGTGGGAATAGCAATAGCACTTAGACTTCTGTATCGCTTTACAGTGCTTTACAGCCCTCTCTTAAGCGGTTTACAGAGTCAGCATATTGCCCCCAACAATTTGGGTCCTCATTTTACCCCCCACGGAAGGATGGAAGGCTGAGTCAACCTTGGAATGAATCAGGGGTGAAATGCTCCCGGTTCGGACCTGATCGCCTGATCCAGTAGCGATGGAAGCGGGTGGTTCGTAGCAAAAATCCCTGCCCCCCCCCCCTTTCCCCGCCGGGCAGCACAACCCTCAGAGGATTTTTTTAGATTTTTAAAAGCATTTTTTTCACCACCCCTTCAGGCTAAAAGGTTTGGAAAAAAAATGGTTTTAAAAGTAAAAAAAAAAAAAAGTTGGCCACGCCCACTCAATCATATTACCACCACCTCCCATCAAGCCACGCCCACAGAACCGGTAGTAACAAATTTTACATTTCACCACTGGAATGGATATTGCATTTAATATTACAAGCTTTAACTGGAAACTGAAAAATAGTAGCTGCTTCTTCTTAAATATTTTTTTAAAAAAAACTAAGTAGCAACAAGCTTTTTGAAGAACAGTTACCGTTTCCAGCTCTCAAATGCTCTTACGATCACAATTTTTTTGATTGAGACAATCTAATTGCAGATTTAGACAGTAAAACAAAATGAATTTGCTCTGCTCCGTAAACCTTAGTGCCAAGATCAAGGAAAAGAGTAGTTTTTCCACTTGAGCTAAGACTGCTTTATTATTTGATTATTTGGGGAAAATAATGCAAAAACATCTCAAGACAGTATTAATAAACAGGATGTTGCAGAAATACTTTTGACTAGTAGGAAAGCAATTCATTTTGAAACTATAAATACTTGCCTTCTCCCCCCCCCCCCTTTTTTTTTTTTTGACCACATGGATTTTAATTGGTTGCTATTTCCATGATTCAGACTACTGGTAAAACTTCGGGATGAAAACAACTCATTGGTGGTGTCGATTGACATTGACCGGTATGTTATTCTACTATAGCCTTTTATAAAAATGACTTGTTTGGTCAGGGTTAAAATGAGAAATATTTTTTATAAAATTCTAGAAACCCTAAATGAACTTTTTGCCATACTTGGTCAGAAATGACAACAATTTTTGGATTTGTGAAAAGATCCAAGGGTAGGGTGAGGTTATGGGAAAAAATGAGCTATATGTATAATATAAGCTGCCCAGAGTTGCCTTTTTGGAGAACTCGGTGGCATATAAATTTAATAAATAAATATCATAGAAGTGGGAAAATATTAATTTGCTTGTACTTGTTGCAAGGAAGATCTGGTGTTGCTTCTTTAAATATTCTTTTTTCTATTTGGGGTTTTTGTTTTTGCTCTTCTTTTTTCTTTTACATTTTGTATATCTTTTCTTTCTATTCTTTTCTTTTTTTCCTAATTTCTGTTTCCCTTATTAAAACTCTTTAATAACAAGTTTTTTTAAAAAAATAAACCTCTATAGGCCATGTGTGTCCAAGCTGTGGCCCATGGGCCTCATATGGCCCTGGACCATTATGTAATGCGGCCCCACAAGATTGTAAACTTCTATCATTATTTTGTGACTTATATGTGGCCCATGCAAGCTGGGTTGGACACCCATGTTCTAGGCTTTATAGATCTTACTTTTACTAATGGAGCTTGTAGTGTTGTGATGGAAGCAGACTAGACATGGGGGAATCACCATTGATTGATTTTCCTTGTTCTTACCTTTTTCAGGGATGCTACTAATTTGACCGGGTAAGTATTCACTGAATAAAAGCAATGGGGAATAATGAGCCTTTCCTATCTGGGAAGGTAGTGGACCATGATTCTTAATCTGGAGATTGTAAAGCTTTACTTATCTGGTTAGTGGAGGAGAAGTTCATAGTGGGGCCCTTCAATTACCTTCTTAGAAAGAGATAAATGAGTTATTGATAGATGTGAGATTTGAAGAATTTCCTTCAGCCCTCGGGCCCATCTCCAAAATCACCCACCTAGCAGAATTGAAAAGAAACTGAGATTGGAAAACTGTGGTGGATACAGAGGAGGGAGGGGAGAAGGCAGTAGTATGCCTGCCCTATAATTTGAGTAAACCAGAAGTAGATAAGCTGTTATCTAGAAACTCACCTTGGTTCCCATCAAGTTCCCAGTCTGATTTCTGTTTTGGATATTTTAAAAATTGCACAGTACTAAATGAGATGTTATAAATCAGACAGCCTGTCTCAGGGGCAATTGTGATGCCCAAGAATGTCCCTAGATCCTTCATAAACTCTATGGGCAGTTTTTGCACATAAAAAGATGGGTATCTACAGTTCAGTGTTTTGTTTGAGAGTGTGCCCAGTCAACAAGGAAGAAAGGTTCCTTGGAATGGTAAGGAGCTTCCCCAGTTTGACTCCTGGAAAATTAGTATTTGTGACATAGTCACATCATGGCAGCTGATGTGAATGGTCATTACAGCCACTTTGAGAGAGCATTCACAACCTACTTTCATAATTCCATAAATATGTTACGGCATATTTAAATACATACTTGCCTGGCAGGGGAGATACCATGATCATGTTTTATATAAATATAAATATATCTATCTCCGGCCACCAGAAAATGGCACATGTTGTGACTGATCCTTGTATTTTTATCTGTTTTCTATTCTGAAGGTTCCGGAAGTTCAATATTTTGACATCCAGCACCAAAACCTTGATTATGGATGATCCCCAAAAGAAAGGACTCGTTTGTGATTTTAAGTACATTGTATGGAAATATTGGCTGATGATTTGAACCTTTAGATATATGAGAAGGAGATAGGATAGTTGGAGCAAGATGTTCCATTTAAATGGTAGAATGGGGGTACAACATTCCCCCACAAAGGGGAAACCTAGCCATTGCCAGCAGAGAAACCAATTTATTTATTTTTTTGCCATCCTATTCTACTAAATTTTGACAACAGATAAGAAATTTAGTCTAAATTTCTTGTACTCTATATTCAGTGGTTCTCTATTTGGGATGCTTTTTTTTTTTCATTTCACATTCCTAAAATATCACCATATTTCTCCTTTTTATTCTTTCCCTTCCATGTTAACTCATGCAGTTTTTAATTTTTTCATAGTTGCGTTTTAATCAGGGAAGTTGGGGGGGGAGACAAAAGTGTGGTGAAAATTAGATTCTGTTTACTTGTATTTTTTTTAATGCCTTCTGTGAGTCAGCTTTATTGGGTGAAAAGGGCCGTGGGAGCTCAGGTGCTAAGGCTGTAGCAATTGAAGCTGAGCGCAAACAAAGGAGGAATTGCTCCTGCCGCAGTTGATCTCAGACCCATGAGGGTCACTTTTAACCGTGTAGGTCAGTGGTTCTGAATCTTTTTAGATCCCCCTTAAATACAGGTAGTCCTTTTGACTTACAACCACAATTGACCCCAACATTTCTGCTGCTAAGTGAGTAACCCGGTTGTTAAGTGAGTCTGGTTTCCCCATCGACTTTGTTTATCAGAACATTGCAAAAGGTGATCACATGACCCCTGGACATTGCAATTGTCATAAATATATGCCGGTTGCCAAGCATCTGAATTTTGATCACATGATCATAGGGAATCTGCAATGGTCACAAGTCACTTTTTTCAATGCCATTGTAACTTCAAGTGGTCACTAAATGAACTGTTGTAAGCCGAGGACTACTTGTATCTTTTGTAGCCACGGACCATTGCCAGAGAGTCCCAAGGCTTAAGTCAAGATTTAAATTGTAACATTTCTTCAAGCCTTCGTGGACTCCCTGTGATGACATCATGGTCCCGAGGGATCCGCGGCTCACAGGTTGAGAACCACTGAACTAGGTCATAACAAAGGGACTGAGTCAATGGCTGACTTGGGAGCTGCAGTTTGGGAGGAGGTGGTAACACAGTAGCTATTCCCTCCCTCTTGTGCTGATTTTCTAATTCAGGTCCTGTCAGGCTCCCATCCAGGTTTGTTTGTTTTTAAAGGAAAAAAAGTATTGGGTGAGGAGGAGTCCTTTGTGACCTGTCCCTCCAAGCCCCAAGGCAACCACCTGTCTTGCATCCACTGCTTCGGCCCCCTTGCCAGACACACAAAATGTATTAGGGAGTTCAGGTGGCTAAAATCTTGACCTATTTTTTAGTCATTAAAAATCTAGTGTTTTAACGTATTTCAGGAAGTACATTGTTCCAATATTTGGTACTGTCGCAGCTAAGTGGCATTGTACATCAAAGCCCCAAATAATCTGCATAATAATCCCCTCTTCTAAAAAGATCTTAAGATAATGAATGTTATGATACAATTGTTGTGAGTCAGGAGCATAAAATAACCCCAGGGAATATTAGTTTTCTCAATTGCATAAATTAGTGGCACTATGCTTCAGCCTTTTATTTAAATAATTTTTTAAAACCAACTTGAACATTCAATATGCAAGAGAAGAAGTTGAGGAGAAGCTGAAATTGGTGGAAAAAAAAAAGATTTGGAAGACATGCTTCTGATCTCACATCAGCTTTCTGCTATTCATTAAAGTACAGGCCTCTTTTTCCAGACATTTATGTTGGTCTGTAAGAAAGACCCCATTACTTTAAAATTTTAAAGCAGCTGCATGGTTTTTTTCAAGCTTTCTTGGAAGACTAAAAAGATGAACATGCTTTAATGACCAACAGAGAGGCGCTGTGCTTGCAAAAGATGTGCAATAATTTTTCAGAACTATTTTCTAAGGGGTCACAGTCATAAAAACAAGTGGTTTTTTTTTTGTTATAGGCTCTTTTGTTTGTACAACTGAATAGGATGATAAGTATTTCTTTGAAAAGATAATCTGCTGAAGTGATGTATTTGGAAGGCAATAGGTTGGAGAAAACTTTCAACAATACAATGATTTGGTTTGATCTGAGCTGATCTTTGTTCCCTTTTGGCCTGATTAATAAAATTTTTCTCTTCTCTTCTCTCTGATGAAGTCACTGAAAGAGCAGAAAATCTCGGGTGCAGGGAAAGGCAACAAAGGGATTAGTGAGGTGAGATTTCAGTTAAATAAGAGGTGATCGTTTAGTGTAAAGATGCCCTATATTACTTGTGGGCCTGACCACAGGTTTGGACTTAATAATCAATACCTGGAGGCTGTATTATCTCATTCCCAGCAAATGTTAAGAATGTGCTTCTTAGGGTGGTAGAGCATGTTTAAAAATTGGGAAATATGTCTCAAATTAAAAATGAGGAGTAACAGTGCTTCCCTGATCTTTGGCCCCCGTTGCTTACACATCTGTTTACTTACATTCACATGTGTATAATTTTTCACTAAAGTAAAGTTTCCTTCAAGTCAAGCTCTACTCCTGGTGTCCTCATGGATATGTTCATGCAGTTTTCTCAGAAGAGGCATTGCCTTCTTCCAGGTTGATTGTCAACTTCCCAGTGTATCCTAAGCCCTGGGAGACCCTTATCCAGATATAAACCAAGTCTATCCCAGCTTCTTTCGTTGTTTTTATGGGGTTCTGATCTGCTGCAGGAGATTTTATTTACTATAACTGTAGGGGTTCTGGAGTTAGGTGATGTGTACATTTGTGTATATAGGTAGACTTACAGCATGGCCATTTGGTCAGCAACTGTTCCAACGTACCAGCGTGTGGAAGGAATGGTGGTTACTACCAGTCCTCAGTGTTCTGGCTATCTCAGTACCCCCATGATCACGATCTGGGTGTTTGGCAATCCATTCGCACTTAAAATTGGTTGTCCAGCACCCTATGATCCCATGTTTGCTATTTGCAGCTTTCTCTTCCGGCTTCTCCTTAGAAAGTCAGTGGAGAAATTAGCAGGGAAGGTTACAAGTCTCTGGGATAAGCGCACCCCCCCCCATCATGTCTGTGTTCACACCAATCATTCGCACACCCTCCCTGACCTGTGCCTCCCACAGTTGCTTACCATCCCCAGCCTGGTCTTTCACTGCCCCTTCCCAACCTGTGCCTCTTGCGCATCCCTTCATCCTCTTGAGCACCCTCCCTGACCCTCCCTGTGCTCCTCACACATCTCCTTGGGCAGCCAACCCATTCCTCCCGGACCCATGCAGCATCTCTTGCACGCTGCCTCACTTCTTCCCCACATCCGGCAGCGGCCATTTTACCGGCCTGCAGGCCTGGGACACAGAACTTCTTAACTAACTTCCCCACTTACGGTACTTTGGTTGTGGGAAACCAGCAAGGAACTTCCTTACTTAACAATAGGACAGCAACCAGGATTGCTGGGACCAGAATTGCAGGGATTGCCACTGTAAGGTGAGGAATCCCCTGAACCGATTTCTTTCTTTCTTCGAATGTCTGAAGAAAACCAACGTGTCACCTGCTAAAGAGAATATATTTCTTACAGAGGGGGCTCTTGTACGTAAGCTAGGGCTGCAGTGAAACCTGAAAGCATGGCACACAATAGTCTCAGGAGCTCTGATCAGCCTCTGTTCATTTTCTCTTTGGGCGATAGGGATCGTTGTCTGTCACCGAAGAATTGCACATTATCACTTTCACCCTGCATTACTGCTATCGAGGTATCAAGTGCCAGCTACAGGTAAGAGAATCTTCCTGATTCCATTAAATTTAGGAGGGGAAGGCAGCTGTATTATTATTATTATTATTCATGTGGGCATTATTATGGCACGGGGGGGGAACTTAGACTGAATTTGGGGAGATCTTGGTTAACTAGAGTCTCCTCTGAACTGTTTCTGGTCAATGGTGGCATAAGAAGCATCCCTTCTCTCGGTGGTTATAAAACCAAAAGACTCAACATTTGTTGCTTCTTATGAGATGGGCAGCTATATAGAATTGATGTATAAACAAACATCATCACCTATTTTCTATACGAGTCTAAATTTCTAGACATTTCTTAATATGAAGAAATCAAAATATGTTACTAACTCTCGAAATAACTATCATCTGCGTTGCCACTACACTGTTCCAGTGGTGAAATCCAGCTGGATCTATCGGGCTTGTGCGAGCTGGTAGGGCTGGCAGCAGGAGGCTCCGCATACCTGCCGGGACGTCATTACGTCCTGTTTTTGACCCTCTGCACATGCGCAGAATAGGGGCATGCGCGCTTACATTTCTGATCCGGTAGCGAAGGTAAGTGCATTTCACCGCTGCACTGTTCCCTCCCCAAGAACTACCTGAGAATCTAGAATGGCTATAAACCATTGCGGTTGGAATTGTCTCTGCACATCTTGTTTTCATGCCACTGAATGAACCTGCTAATACAGCAATAAGTCTTTTGTAGCGTACAGTGCCCTGGAATACCTTTGTGGTGTGTTTGTATTGAATTCCCCCTTTTGTAACCTTTTTTCATCACCAGACATCCACCTTGCCAGTGGTGATTGTTTCCAATGCCAACCAGCTCTCCAGCGCTTGGGCTTCCATTTTATGGTTTATTATGCTCAGCAGAGATACTAAGGTAAGAACCTGTTTTCTTACAGCTGTTTCTCAGAAGTGGGCATGATCTTTCTACTGTAGACCAAATTTCTTCTACCCAGATTGGCCATTATCGTTTTCTTATCACTTGCACTGGAACCAACTTTCCTCTATTTTGGATGGGGAAGGCCTCTCATTCTGCTTCCATAGATCACTAGTCTTAAGTTCTCTGAAGGAATCGTTTCTCTCATGCCTCCCTCTTGTACGCAATCCAACAACACTGAAATTGTCTGAAAAAGTTCTGCTTAAACTTCCATTTCTGAAAACTTTCTTTGAGTAGCGCCTCACCTCTGGAACTCTGTTTCTAGAATCATATAAACGACAGTAGGCAGCCTAATAGAAGAAGGATGTTCTTGAGTGCAAGTTACGTTCTTTGTTGGTATTCACTTGTCCTCCAGCAGCCAACTACTTTGCCAGACATACAAGGCAGGATGCCATCACTATGGGGATGGAAAGTAACATCTACTCTTATCCCACAATAAATGATACATTTAACCTCTCCAAAGTTCGAATTTAAAGCAACCCTCCCTAATATGATGTTCCCCCAGGCATGTAAGAGAAAGGTCCCATCATGGCTGAGGACAGAGAACTTTCTAGTGGAAACTCTTAAGAAAAGGTTGCAGCAAGCTAGTCTGTCATCCCTCTTTCCTTGGGCAGCCCAAGGGGATGAATTATGTCTCTAAAACTGTTCCCCATAGATATTCCCTTTGCGTGAGAGGGGGGCATATTTAAAATAAAATCAAGTACCTGATTAATGCTTTTTTTCCCTCCTCCTTCCTAGAACCAACTGTTTTTCTCCCAACCACCAGAGGCCACCTGGGCCCAGCTTTCCAGTGTATTGTCCTGTCAATTCTCAGCAGTTACTGAACGAGGCCTGGATAACCATCAGCTCAAGATGCTGGGAGAAAAACTCTGTGGTAAAATGGGAGGTTTTGTCCCTATGGAGATGAAGCAGGGATTCCATTGATATGGACAGGTCTGGATTTAAAGTCCTGCCCAGGCATGTTCTGTCTCCTGTCCCTTTAGCAGAGACGTTTAGGCAAAATTGGGCATTTATAAATGATTTTAGGAGCTTAGGAATGTAGAATCAGAATTGATAATAGCCGCATTTGATTCATTGGAGGGATTCATTTCTTCAATTCTGCTTCCCAGCAGTTTTCTACTCACTCTCCTTGTGAGACAAGAATAGCCTTGTTGAAAGAAATAAGGGTTCTGCTTGGGTTCACATATCCTTATCAAGGCAGTTACGTGGTGTTTCTCCTTACTTTTTTCTTCCCATCAAAGGGCCAGGCGTGAACTTACAGAGTACCATCACATGGGATCAGTTTTCAAAGGTAAGGAACTGTCCTCGAAACAGCTCCTCCGAGGTTTCTGTTGTCCACCTGCCAGCATCCTCATTTAGCTGTCCTCTGGTGTGTTTTTTTTTTCTTCCTCCAGGAAGCGACTGCAAGCACCCCAGGGGACAATAATTTCAGCTTCTGGACCTGGATTGATGGGATCCTACTCCTGATTCAAGAGCATCTGCTGCAGCTCTGGAAGAAAAAGTAAAGATTGGGGAGAAATGAAAAGTGATAAAAATGAGGACCTCTTGATTATTGCTAGCCTTTGGGGGAAATGTCAAATCATGCACAGGTAGTCTTCAACTTACAACAGTTTGCTTAGTGACCGTCCCAGGTTACAGCAGCACTGAAAAAAGTGACTTGTGACCATTTTTCACGCTTACAGCTATCGCCTTGGTCACAGGATCAAAATTCAAATGCTTGGCAAGTGACTCATATTTATGATGGTTGCAGTGTCCCAGGGCCAAGCGATCCCCTTTTGAGACCTTCTGACAAGCAAAGTCAATGGGGAAGCCAGATTCACTTAACAACTGTGGCAAAAAAGGTCGTAAAATGGGATGAAACGTAACTGTTCCACTCAGCAACAGAAATGTTGGGCTCAATTGTGGTTGTCAGTTGAGGACTACCTGTATTCCTTGTTAGGGAGACAGTCCCAAATATTGGGGTAGCAGCAACATCTTTCCCGGATTGGGGAGAATTTCATAACCTTATCTTGGAAGGCTGGGGATGCAGCGTTTTTTCATACGTTCAGCACCATGTTGTCCTACACCACTGTTTGTTCGTTTTTTTCCCAATCTTGGTAACTTTAAGACATGGGAATTCCATTTCCCAGATTCCCCAGGCAGTATGCTGGCTTGAGACTTGTGGGAGTTGAAGTCCACATACTTTAAAGTTGACAAGTAATTTTATTTAAAAAACCCTGTCCTAGACCTTAAAGTCTGTAGAGATTCTCAGTCATCCAGGTCATGGTTGTCCCAAAGGTGCTTTTTCGGGAGACAGCTGGACTTTCTTGTTTTTTCTTTTTTCTTTTGAAGACGGTTCACTTCTCATCCAAGAAGCTTCTTCAGCTTCGGCAGGATAGTGGTATCAGGTAATAAGTGTGCTAGGCCTTAACTGAGATTGCAGAAGCCAGGAAAAGAGCACAGAGTTTAGGGGGTTTTTTTTGTTGTTGTTGTTTTGTTTTTGCCTGGGACAGCAGTTTACTAACCCGTGACTCTGCATGTAGGAACCAGGGTTTGAAAAGATACAGTGAGGAAGAGGTGAAACCAAAGCTGTTGGAACGCAAAGGAAAATGAGCAGCTTTTCCTGATCTATATCTTTCCCATTCCCAAATTTGACTAGTCTCATCATGGGATTTGTAAGCCGCAAATATGAAAAGCGTTTGCTGAAAAGGAAAATGGCTGGCACCTTCCTGATACGTTTCAGTGAGAGTACCTCCAATGGTGGCATCACCTTTACCTGGGTAGACTTTAACAATGATGGTGAGTTTTTGGATTCCTATCTTACTTTTTAATCATCCTGAGTGATGCCTTAGAAAATGGCTTATCTCATCTTATTAAGCTTTGGCATGATAATGGACCAGGATTTTTCAAACTGCACTCAGAACCGTGGGGTTTCTTAAAACTTGATGGGGTTCTGTAAGACACTGAGGGAATTTTTTTTTTTTAAATTCACTCAGAAGCAGCCAATTTTCTATCATTAGAAGTTTGTCTCTTTTTATTTTATTTATTTTATTTTTATTTATTTTATTTTGATTTATATGCCGCCCTTCTCCGGAGACTCAGGGCGGCTTACAAGGCGTTAAGCAATAGCCTTCATACTTTTGTATATGTTATACAAAGTCAGCTTATTGCCCTCACAAACCGGGTCTTCATTTTACCTTCCTTAGAAAGGATGGAAGGCTGAGTCAGCCTTGAGCCTGGTGAGGATTGAACTCGCAGTAATTGCAGGCAGCTGGAAGCTAAATACTACCTTTTAACAGTAGCATTAGTCTGCTGCGCCACTCAGGCTTCGGAGATCATTTTAAAATGATCTCCGAAGTTAAAATACATAATAAAAAGGAAAAAGAAGACATCAACTGCAGACCAAACAAAAAAACAATGATAAAAAGTGTGCGTACAACAAATAACAAGTATATCATTAATGTTAACAAGTTCAATATAAAATGCCCACTCTGATTAAATGCTGAAAAATATATTTAAATCCTCCACCATTAAAAGAATACTTTCAGATCTATGTTTAGATAATTTCTGTAATATTTGACTCCAAGCTCTTGCAAGCTTGTAAACACACTTGGAGATGTGGTGGATTGAGACCCTCACTTTCACAAGGGAGTCTCTAGATCAGTGTTTCTCAGTTTCAGCAACTTTAAGATATGTGGACTTCAACTCCCAGAATTCTCTGCTGACTGGGGAATTCTGGGAGTTGAAGTACATGCATCTTAATGTTGCCAAGGTTGAGAAACATTGTTCTAAATACTCCATACTCCTTTATTATTCACACTCACTCTGGGACATCTTTAACTCTAGCAAATACCCTGTCAGACTAAGCTGCTGAGAAGAAGATGTCAGAGAGGTTTCTATTCTACGCCTCATTTAAAAATCAGTACAGAGGACCTTGTACTGGAATAGACTAGATGGGGGCAGCAAACCAAGTACGACTCCCCAGTAGTGTGGAGAATGAGTATCTCATTATCATTTCTTTTTCCCTTTCTCCATTGTCTTCAGCACTCAATTATAATATTAGGATAAGGTTCCCCTCGCACATGCGTGCTAATCATTCCCAACTTTAGAGTGCGGTGCTCATCTCTGTTTCAAAGCCGAAGAGCCAGTGCTGTCCGAAGACGTGTCCGTGGTCATGTGGCCGGCATGACTAAATGCCAAAGGCGCACGGAACGCTGTTACCTCCCCACCAAAGGTGGTCCCTATTTTTCTACTTGCATTTTTTATAGGTTGGCAGAAGCTGGGACAAGTAACGGGAGCTCACCCTATTATGTGGCACTAGGGATTCAAACCGCTGAACTGCCGACCTTTCAATCGACAAGCTCAGCCACTGAGCCACTGCGTCCCTTAATATTAGGATTCATATTTCCTTTTCCCATTCTTGATTCCTTTCATAAATTTCTTTCGCTTACTATCTTTATGAGGGCAATGTTAGTGAGTTGTAACCGAAGCAGCAACTTTCCAGGCGTTAACAGTATATTTTTAAAAATAGTTGGTATCTGGCTCAACTGGTCACCACGATACAGAAAAGATATTGAGACCCTAGAAAATGTGCAGAGAAGAGCAACAAAGATAATTAGGGAGATGAATGCTAAAACATACTGCAGAAATTGGACATGTCTAGTCTAATGAAGAGAAGGACTAGGGAGCAATATGATAGCAGTCTTCCAACATTTGAGGGGCTGTCATAGAGAAGAGGGGATTGGCCTACTCCAAAGGACCTTAAGGCAGGACAAGAAATAACAGATGGAAACTTATCAAAGAGAGGTTAAACTTAGACCTAAGGAGAAACTTCCTGAAGGTGAGAACAATTAATCAGTGGAACGGCTTGCTTTCAGAAGTTGTGGGTTCCCCATCACTGGAGGTTTTTAAGAAGAGATTGGACAGCTATTTGTCGGGAATGGTGTAGGACCGTGATGGCGAACCTATGGCACGTGTGCCACAGGTGGCACGCGGAGCCATATCTGTGGGCATGCAAGCATTGCTCTAGCTCAACTCCAGCAAGCATGCGTGCGCTGGCCAGCTGATTTTCAGGCCTTCCAGATCCACCGGAAGTTGGGAAATGGGATATTTCCAGCCTCCAGAGGGCCTCCAGTGGGTGGGGAAGGCCGTTTTCGCCCTCCTCAGGTTTCTAGAAAGGCTCTGGAGGCTGGGGAGGGCAAAAAAAAAGGGCCTTCCGGTCCCACCAGAAGTCGGGAAACGGGCCATTTCCGGCCTCCGGAGGGCCTCCAGAGGGGTGGGGAAGACCATTTTCACCTTCCTCTGGTTCCTAGAAAGCCTCGGGAGGCTCAAGAGAGCGAAAAACGGGCCTACTGGGCCCACCGTGCCATCACAGGGGGCGTGGCGCATTGAATTATGGGTGTGGGCACACGCACACACAACCTCCCTGCGGTCCCCCCACTTTTGGCACACGACGGCAAAAAGGTTAGCCATCACTGGTGTAGGATCTCTACTTCAGCAGAAGGTTGGACTAGGAGACCTTCAAAGTCCCTTCCAACTCTATTATTCTGTCTTCTGAATCCCCCCTCTTCTCATAAAGCACATTGCCCTCCCAGATTCAAATTTCAGGATGATGCAGAAATTTCTCTAAATCACCGAGAACCCTATTTGTGCAGGTACTCCGGAATTCCATTCAGTTGAGCCCTACACCAAGAAAGAGCTGGAGTTCCTTTCACTGCCTGATATCATCCGAGATTACCAACTCCTGGCTAAAGAAGTTGTTCCAGAGAATCCACTCCTTTACCTGTATCCTGACACTCCAAGGGATGACGCTTTTGGTTCTTACTACAAAGAACGCCGGGAAGGTATTAGCAGCTGCCAGTTTTTCCTTGGGCATTCTCCACTGGGACTCTTATTTATACCCTGCGATTCAGCGGAACTGCATTTTCCCATGGACGAGTTTATATATATTCTGATATTTCCAGAATTGCTGTTTATGGAAGTTGACATCTAGCAAATGTAGTTGTTTGGGTAGGAAAGGTTTAAAGTACATTTTATCAGAGGGATGATGATGTTGATGATGATACAAACCTGAATTGTTCCTTTTTACAGTTTAAAGGAGGCAAAGACAGATGATGCCTCAGGTATACAAGTGGTGCTCTTGGCATGGGAAAGAAATCTTCAATGAGTAAACATTGGACCTTTCTTTGGCATGCAAATTTCAACAATTGAGCCAAAAGATTAGGGCTTCCCCTTTCCATGTGACATTTCCACCAGAGTTCTTAAATATTCATGCTATACTGAATAAAATGATAGTGCAAATATTTATCTCAATAGTAAGAATATTTATTTGTTTGTTTCTTTGTATCCTGCCTTTATTTATTTTTTTTACAAAAAACTCAAGGCAGCAAACATACCCAGCACTCCTATTTCCCCCACAACAACAACCTTGTGAATTGGATTGGGCTGAGACAGAGACTGACTGACCCAAAGTCACCCAGCTGGCTTTCATAGCTAAGGCAGGACTTGAACTTTCAGTCTCCTTATTTTTAGCTTGATGCCTTAACCACTACACCAAACTGGCTCTCTACCAAGGAAACTATGAAGGGAACTCTGTTAAATCTGGTGCAAGGGTTGTAAAATATTGATAGTGTTGCTGCTTCTCCATCCTTCACATCCTCTTCTTTTTTTCCCAGTAAGCACGATGGAAAAAAGAAAATACTTGAACCGTCGCCTGATCAGAGTCTCTACGTGAGCAATGCCATCTTCTCTTTTTTTTGCTTCTTCAAGTAGTTGGTTGTAAATGTTGCATGCATCACTCCTAAACTGTCTTTAGTTCACCTGAATCCAACATTCTACTGCAATCCCACCTCCTATGGCCTCTGTACCTCGTGAGAGACATGAGAGGCTGAGCTAAAGTGGGAATCCTGTTTCATCTCACTGGATGAAAAGCCTTCTACAAAGGCCTTGACTTGGATCCAGAGCAAGCAGACAATGCTTCTCATCGAGTTGCCTCCTTTCTTCTTTGCCCCCCTTCTAATACCCCCACCCCCGAGCTTTTGAGACAGATTTGACTAGAAAGAATGAACAGGAAAGGGAAGTTGAGAGAGCCAATAGGTGATCTTGTTTATGGAACTCCTTGCTGAGGTTATGTGTCCTGCACAGCCTTTAGGTTGTGTTCTTCCCTGATTTAATCCCTCTCTCCTTAATCCAGAGGCCAGCTAGCTGGGCACCTTTGGAATAGAAAAGGTAGCTCCCCATCAGGCCATTGCCACTTGTGCCTTCCATTCAGGGAGGTGCTGTCTCAGAGTCTTTTTCTGCAAATTAGTTGACCAGGGGTAGGGGGGGACACTGAACACAGGTTTAAAAAATGGGAGAAATAAAGTCTAAGCTGATTGTCTAAGTCTTAAAAGAGATTTTAAGAAGTTTCAACTGAACTTCTGTAGCAAGAGAATTCTGCCATGACAACTTTGGTGTCATGGCAGAGAAGAGAAGATGCTGCTGTTGTACATTCCGTCCGTCCCCCAATATCAATTATGGATGCTACTGAAGGTGGTAGAATACTTCTTTTTTTCCTTTTTCCTCTAATTCATCTCCATCTAGGCAACCAGGAGAGACTCAGATGCCAGATGTAAAAGAACTACTCCCTATAAGCAATGAGTTGGCAGCTGATGAAGTGCAGAATCCTGAGTATAAAGTGGAGAACTGTCTGCTTGGGCAACCAGGAGAGACTCAGATGCCAGATGTAAAAGAACTACTCCCTATAAGCAATGAGTTGGCAGCTGATGAAGTGCAGAATCCCGAGTATAAAGTGGAGAACTGTCTGCTTGACAAGGAAGGTAAATAATGTATCTGGGCCCTCTTAAATTGGGCAATTGTTGTCCCAGAAGTAATCCTTTTGAGACTATGCCCCAAAGGAGCTGTTTTTTCCAGAGGCAACTGGACTTTCTTGTTTTTCTTTGAAGACTTCTTCAGCTCTGACTGGATGGTGTGGAATGGAAGGATTTGTATTCCCTGCAGACAGCTGGTCATTAACGACTGTCTAAAAGAATGCAAATGACCAGCTGTCATCTAGGAGTATAAATCCTTCCATTCCCCACGATCCAGTCAGAGCTGAAGAAGCTTCTTGGATGAGAAGCGAAACGTCTTCAAAGAAAAACCAAGTAAGTCCAATTGCCTCTTGAAAAAAGGCACCTTTGGGACAACCATGACCTGGATGACTGAGAATCTCCATAGACGTTTGGAGACTATGGTTGCAGAATTGTTAGTTTGTTTCCATTTTCTCTTTTCTTTTGGATTTCTCTCATTTGTCTTTCTGCGTTTAGTTTGGCTGATTTGCTCTCCCTTCCTCTTTTTTTTTAGATCCTTTTCTTTTCCAGTCAAACGAAGAGCAACAGGAACCTTCCATCCTATTTGATATGCCACACTTGCATGTGGATGACCCAGATTTCCAAAACCTGCTCATCGTTGAGAATATAAGCAATGATACTCCTGGAATTGAAATTGAGGATTTAATGAACCTTTATGCTAAGGTAGAAGTAGGTTCATGTGTGTAGGACACACACACAATTCTCTACATGTCCTTTATTCCCCCCATTCTTTCTTGCCTATAATATACAATCAAGGCCATCGACATATAGGAAAATATATTCTGGTTTCTCTTAGCTTCTCTCCACAAATCTTTGGACAAAAGTTTCTCCCATAAATTGCCACTATTTAACCATTTAAGTTCTTTCTTAACAGCTATTTCTTCTATCATGCCTGGATTGGGGCAAAACTACGGATGAAGGGTTGGACTCCCTCCTATGCACATGCACACCCTTATAGAATTCATGAAAGCTGAAATTTGTTGACTTCCAAAAGGCTTGCATGTTGACTGACTCTTGATTATACTTGGGATCAAGTTAAGAAAAAGTCAAATAGCTCTTCATTTTGAGTTACAGGATTTGCAAAAAGCAAGTTTGGGAAAAGGGAATATAATTTACTAGAATCTAGAAAAGTAGTGTGAAAAAAGACACCCAGAAATATAAAAATGATGTGCTCATTCAATTATTTGGGTAAGATAGAGACTTTTTGAATTAATGGCTCAGCAACCATCTAATTTATTAGCAGGTGTGTTTGTTTAAAAAAAAAATATCACAGTTGCTGCTTGCTAGAATTAGAGTTACCATGACAGTAATCAATGACTAATACTGAGCTTTCATTTCTGTTTGCCTTGCCTCTCAGCTGTAAATTTGTAAATAAACAGATGCTACAAAATAAACCTTCAGTCTGCATTCTTTATGGGAAGCTGATCCAGTCGAGCTGTTCTGGAATTTCTCATCATATGGAGAAGTGGCAAGGACCAACCAGATCAAACTGTACTTTGGTAAAATTGAGCAAATACGAGCTGCATCCACACCAATGCTTTCCTCAAATACATGTGTGTAATTTTTTACTATCCTCTGCAATTCTGGGATCTTTCACTCCTTTTATTTTAATAATAAAAAAACATTCAGATCATTGTCAAATTCCTGGTTTTGGTGTTTCTGTCCTGTCAAGCATGAGGCATGGTCTGTCGATACAGATGTAGAGGTCTGTGATAATAAATTGTAGGGGTGATGACATTGGCCTACTTGTGCAGCGCCCCTGTCACAACATTATGTCTTCCAATTTTTTAAACTTTTTAAAAGTTTGGCCAATTCTGATTTATTATAAAACATTGAACTAGAAGTGTTAATGTGGGACACCACTGGGAAAAGGGAAGGTTCCAGGAAAACGTCGTGGGAGTCCAGGCTTTTGATAAATATGCCCCCATAGTTCCAATCATCCCAGCACTGTATTAAAGATGTCAGCGAAAGCAGCTCAGTTACATTAACTTTGCATAGTGCAGCACTGGATGATTTCAGGCAGCATTCTGCTCTGCCCCTGTAGGATACTGGAGGGGAGGGAAGAGGCTCTCACCTCTATGTCCTTTTTTTCCATTTATGAAACTGCTGAATTCATTTCAACTACACAAATATAGCTTTTTATTTCAGTCAATCATGCAAAAAAACTTCTCATTATCCCTCAAAAAAGGATGAACATACATTTTACATTGTAAATGAAAGTGTGAGATTCTGGAGTCATCCCCCCCACTTTTGATATTAATAGTTGGCACTTAGTTTTTCTATACATTCTTGGTCACTAGCACTGCGGTGCATGACATGAATTGAGCCATATAAATAAAAATAAATACATTAAATAAGTATATTAAATAAATAAGAGCAAATAATGGACATACCCTCCCTCAACTTCTCTGTCTCGTTGATTTTTGCATTCCCAGGGAATGAATTGTATTTTCTGGATTCTGTATCTGCATGTATGTTAAGTGTGTGAAGGTTTATAATGGAATATTCTCTCTCCCGCCCCGGCATTGTTCTAGCTCAGATAGTTACATCCTATTCAATGCGGCACAGTGGGAAAAGACGCGTGCCATCAAAATTGCAAACAACTGCAGGCGCTGTAAGATGACATCCACTACATGCGATTTCTCCCATTCTTGAATTGGTTTGGCTGGGCTGCTGCTTTCATCCTGTAGTTAGAGAAGAACATAAGTCAGATCTGCATTTTACCCAATTATCGAAGCATCAGTCCTTGTGAATGCTCATCCCAGCAACGCGTTTGGATGCTTGAGTTAGAGAAAATCATTTGGCAGGATTGGGCCGGTGACTAAACAGGGCTGAAGGGGGACATTTGGAGCCATAGGTCCTCTTGAGAAATTGCCTGACTTCCTCGTGTTCACAGTGTGAAAGTGGCTATGAGAACAGTATGGGTGTAAGGGATGCAACTTTACTCCTTGTAAAAATAAGAGCCTTTCCTAACATTATTAATGCCTTTGTGAGAAATAGTTGAGTAGTGACAACCAGTCTTTGCATTTGCATTGTTGCAGTGTCCCTGTAATCTCTTCCTTTTGCCTCATAAACATACTTACTTTCCGAAGGAGCTGCAACAAATTAGTCATGGCAGTTCGGAGCCCAGTTGTAGTATCTGACTTCGCATACTGTGTCAGAAGTTCCTGATAACGGTGAAGGCCCCAACGAATCTTCATCAGACACAACTAAGACAGAACAAAAGCTGGGGGTCATTTTAATTCGATTCACAAACCAGACATAGAGATCCTTCAATAGAGGAAACTTGTTCAAAGCTACAGGCTTCCTTGTATGGCCCTCCCTACTTGGTTGGGGAACTCTGTGTCATGGGTTCTTTTAACTCTACTCAATTCGGTGGGTTCAAGACCCAAAAGAGCCAACAACACAGGTCTCTAGATAACGCATGGAAGCACTTCAATACTATTAAACATTAAACACTTCTCCATAGCTACTTTTCCTACTAGTACTCCTTGTGAGTACTGCTAGAGAAAAACATCCCATTCAAGTTATTCGGGCTGCCCCAAACCCTTCCCTCTTCCGCCTCCTCCCCCTCCCCCTCCCCACACTCAGCTTTTATAGGCAACCTTGCCTTGCTAAGGTGAGGAGGGGACTTAAAGAGACAGGACAAAAGCAGCACAGGTGCTGGCAATCTTTTGGACAGCCATTCTGCTGTCACACTCTGGTAAAAACAGATCTTGTGATCGTTTCCCTCCTCTACACCCCCCCACCCACTTTTAAAATACCAGCCTCAAAACTGCTTTTAAAACATATCCTTTAAAATGGGTGTTCTGCTTTCCTAATTATGGGGGGGGGTGGTCTCCAAATGTGGCAATGTTTAAGGTTCATGGACTTCAACTTCCAGAATTCTGGGAGCTGAAGTCCACAAGTCTTAAAAGTTGTCAAGTTTGGAGACCTCCACTAAATATGAATGATGAAGTCTGAATGGGGCTGCTTATTGAAGAAAATGAGATCAGATATGTACTAATTTTTCTCTTGTCATGCAAAGTTGGAAACCTCTTCCATCTTGGCCCCCTTTCTTCTTTGATTGCCAGCTATAAACATTGTCTCTTCCCATAAAAGCGGCCTTTACATTCATCAGCTCAAAAGGACAATTCTGCAGGTATGCCACAAAGGATTTAGTTTTAGCCAGATTTCTCAGGCCATCTCAGGAAGACTCTTTGTATTTCTGTATTAGGCAAGTCACCTTTTAGGGAAATTTGGCATACCCATTAATATATTTTTATGCAAGAAATCTCCAGAGTCACCTTATCAGTGAGAGGGGCATCATATATATTTAATAACATGGAATGGAATGGAATGGAATGAACGGAACAACAGAATAGAATTCTTTCTTGGCCAAGTGTGATTGGACAAAAGGAATTTGTCTCTGGTGTATAAGCTCTCAGTGTACATGTAAGCAACAAGTGATAAATCATGATCATAATCATAATTTTTCCTTAGAACACAATTTAAGCACTGTTCTGTTTTGTACAATTAAATCCATAATAATTTACAATGTCTTCATAGTACCATTCAGCCATTACTTAAGTAAATATAAAGCCAGTCTGCATAACTATTATTTTTGTACAGTTACAACTGGATGATTTTAGAAACTCTACATCACTAGTGGAGAAATGATCTAAATGTATTAAAAAAAATAAACAGTTATACCCTTAATTGATTTGCAACTGTTCTTGGATTAGTTAAAAACCACCAAGATTACAGAAATCACAGTTCCGTAAAATGAAGTATTTTCATTTTACGGCTTGGTTTGGATAGACATAATTACCGTGCTATTCTTGCCCAAGGAATCTGGATCACAGTGATCGTTGCATTCAATCCGCCGAGGTAATGAAATATTTAACGGTTTTTCCTAGGGGGAAAAAAAAGAGGCACTAAATATAAAGATGTACATTGAGCTTACTTGAAACAAAATACAAACAAAAATAAATGTTGGAATATACCTATCCCTACCACATACATCTTATCTCTAATCTTGTTCACCTGGGTTTTTTTTTCTGTTCTGAAATTATATTGAGTAGAAAATGTCTGTCTATCCCCCTCCACCTGCTTCTCTGTATTCAAGTAAAGACTGCAGCCATTTTTCAAGCATTTGGATTTGGATACGTGCAAAATTAAATGATCCCTTCCAAGTTCTACATTTCTAATCTTTTTTTAAGTAGGACAAGGGAGACAGAAGCTCATATGATCCTAGAACTTTGGGCCAAACACACTTTCAGACCAATCCACTTCACAAATGTGACGGTCATAAAATGAGTAGAGACCCTCCCCCAAATTACAGCTTCCTTGAGTTCTCAAGAAAAAAAGGCAGACTAAAATTTAATAAATTATTAGACTGAGAAAGATCAAATGGAAAACGTGAGCAAGATATTTTAATTTCAGCAGTTCTAAGAAATGGGCCTTGTCACATCTGTGGGTTGTGACAGTTCAAGAAAAACTGAACTGCAAAATGTGGTCTTTCATAGGAGCCTAATCTGCCTCTGAATCTAGTCACAAGTGACAAATTAACAGACAGAGAGGTGGATGTATGAATACAAGTGATAAAAAAAATAAAAAATGGATCTCAGATGACAACTCAAAGATGAATCCAAATTGGTCTTGGAAATGAGTAGGGCAAGTAGCTTAATAGTATGTTAATATTTGCTCTTCACCAAGACCTTCGGTAAGGGAGAAGACCTTGACTATATCATACTTCTATGTTTTTCTTCATTTTTTATGCTTTATTGTAATTTCTTGGTTTGTTATGAGCCACTGAGAGTCGTTAAGAGTCGCTGGCATAGAAGTTTAATATATTATGGTTTGTTGCAAAGTCAGACATGTTTAGATTGGAGTTGGCGTTTTTATCTGCTTATAGACCTAGATAGGCAGACGATGATGATGATGGTGATGATGATGATATACACAGCAATATGAAATCACAGCTACCAGTTCTTTAGCTGATGTTAACCCTCATTCACTTCAAGCCCTTCCCAAGAACCTAGGATCTCATAATGTATTGGTATAGTATACACCAGGGGTGTCAAACTCGTGGCATCATGGTGGCATCACATGATGTATCGGGACTTTTTTCCCCTTCGCTAAACCAGGCATGGGTGTGGCCAGTGTGTGATGCATCTGGCCCACGGGCCGGGACTTTGACAACCATGGTATAGATGTAGATCCAAACACTGTGCTCTTTTGTAATTGACAAATTAATATTTAATAATATGTATAATTAATTAAATTAATCTTTTAAATCTGTAATTTTAATTCAACTATATTAATGAAATAATTAATGATAAATAATAATACCAAACAACAGCATCTGCCTCACCCAGTATTTCTCAACCTTGGCTGCTGGACGATGTGTGGACTTCAACTCCCAGAATTCCCCAGCCAGCTCTGTTGAAGTCCACACATCGTCCAGCAGCCAAGGTTGAGAAACACTGGCCCTAATCCATCCCTATCCCTTAGGAAGGACTAAAAATGGCAAAAATGCCAAATCCAGTGTAAACATCTGGCTGACTGTGCAACCAACCATAATTATCCACCAGAAAAAGAAATAATATCCAGCAAGATGTCGTACACATGAAGCATTCTTGATTTAGGTTAATTAGCTGGAACTCCTTTAGCAGAGCCTTAGCTACAGATGAACCTCGGGCACCTAAAAATCATTTTATCTCAGATTCATGGGGCCTAAATATTTACAGTTATGCTACATCAGTGTGGCTAAGCATTGGGAAAAGGATGTTTTTCCCCTTTAGTCATGTGAACACAGGGGCTAACCATGCCGCAATACTAGAGTAACAAGTAGGGAAAAAGCAGCAGTTGCATCAGAGCATGTGGTTTCAAAATGAAAAGCAATAAGATCGAATATGAAACTTTAAAAAAATATATTAAGTTACAGGTGGGGAGAGTTATCTTAAAAATATCAGAATCAGATTTGTTTTATAGGGGATGAGAATGTTCCAGATAAGAGCAAAAGTGGTTGAGATTTTCAGTAAACCGTTTTACGTGAAAATATTTCAGAACGGCTTTTTTCAACATTTGCTGTCAGATTTTGGATTTTGTTTCACTTTCTTCATCAGATGTGCTGATGGATGTACAATATTGGGAATTCTAGTCTGTATTCACTCTTGGTTACATTGGTTCATGGGTATTAGGTAAGATGGTTGTGTGATGATGACCTTTCCCATTTAATGTGGGAAAAATTAAGGGAAGTGTTTGGTAGATTCCCCTAACATCACCTGCATCAACTATCTTCCTGAAGGATAACAGGTAGTTCTAAATTTAGGACCATTTATTTAGGGACCATTCAAAACGACAACAGCAGTGAAAAAGTGACTTAGAACTAGTCCTCACACTTATGACTATTGCAACTGCCCCATGGTCACGTGATCAAAATTTGGGCATTTAGCGGTTGTTCATGTATTTAAGGCATTTGCAGCATCCCAGGGTCACGTGATCGCCATTTGCGACCTTCCCAGCCATCTTCTGACACCCATAAACAATGGGGGAAGTCGGATTTGCTTAACGACCAGATGATTCATTTATAACGACTTCAGTGATTGAGTTAACAATTTTGGCAAAAATGGTCTTAAAATTGAGTGCGTCTCACTTAACAACTACCTCGCTTAGCAACAGAAATTCTGGTCCCAAAGACTGCCTGTATCTGTCAAAACCTGTTACTGAGTTACCAGATTGGAAGGACAGTAGATCAGGAAAGGAAGAGACAGACAGAAAGAAAGGGAATATACTATTACTCCATGACTATCAACCATTTGAGGGGGCTAGCAGAAGAGTGGAGGGGGGCTCCTATTCTTAACCATGTGTCTTTTCAGTTCCTGGAAGACAACCAGAACCATATTTTCATAGTAGCACCCCCAACTTGTTCTAGCTTAGGTGACAGAAAGGCTTGTGTGGATATTTGAAAGTTAGTTGTATGGGAATTAGGTTTTCTTTCCTGCAGTCCAAGTTAAAATAACCAGGGAGAATGAATGAATGAATGAATGAATGAATGAATGAATGAAAGAGAGGAAGAGGGAGCAAGAGAGAGAGAGAATGAAGAAAAATGTCTGCCTAGCAGCCTAAAATTGCCAATAGGGCTGCCAATCCCATCCTCAGCTTCATTGTGTAATTATTTTCTATGGAAGGACACATGCTGGGAGAAACATAACAATGGTATTTTAACACTGACTACAGTATATAAAGAGGGCATAAGGAATCTTTTAACAACTAGAAGGGCATCTTTATGTTGGGGTTCGGAGGCTATGAGGAGTAGCCCTTATCTGGAGCCAATTCGTGGCAAATGTGATTTTAAGACATTCCCAATTCTTGCCTGATTTTCTTCATACTAGGATGAAGTCTGCTCTCAAATCTTGTCAGTTTTCCCATGAAATGCCCCTTTTTCAATACTTTCTTCTGTTAAAACCCTGAAAACAAACCCCCTACTTCAGCTAAATCCTTGTCCTTAAACAAAAAGAAAAAATTCAGTTGTGGGGTCCTTGTCTGCACGAAAAGTACCAAGCTCAGAGAGCACCAAGAACCCCACAATTCAGCCATGAGCTACAAATATTCTCTTCTATCAATAACTCGATTGGAAGTTGCCTTCCCTTTATCTTGCTCCTTTCCTTAGTGAAGGGATGCACAAATAGCCCAGGCTTACAGGCAGCTGAACTTTCCAATAATTGACAACTCTTAACATTATTAAACAGGAAATCCAAATTAATCATGTTAGCTATATTTGGTGCTAGGGATGTACAAGTACATTAAATCAAATAACATATTGCTTCTGACCTGACTTCACCCAAGGGGGAAAAAATTCAATTTGGAGGCTTTTACTCTTGTATGTCTCCTGATCAGGAAGATGCCACACACCCCAGCCTTAGGCTAAGGAAAACTCTTCCAGAAAATGAGGCCAAGCACGATCTTCAGATCAGGAAAAAATATATTTAACCTTTCACACACACCTTTCAAGCTCTTAAATAAAATCAGGCACCTGTTTTCATATGACTACTATTTGCATTGCAGGAAAGAAAATTCCCAGTGGAAAATATTCGGATGCAATATGAATGGGATTGGCATTTGGATCAGAATTTTCCTCATCCAAATCCCAACCCCATTCTTATAACTGTTACGGCCATCTTTTTGCAGTTCTCGAAGTCATTTCTTTGCTCAACCAGAGTTTATTCAAAAAAATACAACTAACTGGCTTGGCACAGCATGGTAAATCATAAACCACAGCTTGCAAAAACTACAGGGATGCATCCGAGGTTTTCAGTTTTAGTGTCTCACCTCGATTTGGGAGATCTCAACCGTGATGCTGCCCCCCCGCCCCCCGCCCATTCAGATCACTCAATGGAGAGGAAAGCTCGGTCATTTCCAACTACCTAAACCCAAACAAACATTTCAATTTGCCAAAAGGTGTAAAAACAACCTACATAATTATAGTCATGATGAGGTTCTCCCTATCACTGTATCCTTTTTCTCTGGCCAGATTTCCTATCTGGAATTTGGTCCCACTGCATTCTGTGAAGAAGTCAAAGCGTTCTTCTACTCACCACTTTAGTCACTTTCAGCTTCTGCAGGTGCTTGAGGATCTCTTGCGAGGCAGTTTTGCAACCCTGCCAATCTATATCAGTTTCCAGGGGCAGCCTCATTCCTCTGGAAGCAGCAAATAGGAGGAGGAGATAAAGAAGGCTGCTCTGCAAGGGATGCCCTGTGTGGAGCATCATCTCTGAAGATTTTAAGACTGAACTTGAAGTGATGCTGGAGGACCTTTTTTGATACTGGGAGTCAGAGGAACCAGGATCATATTTATCTTGCTGCTATAGGTGACTCAGGCATATAGCGGGGAATTCCACTCCTGGGGAGACAGGTGGGGGTGGTATTGCAAGTGCACTGATGTCAGGGATCAGTGTGACCTGATATGGCCAACAATTAGGGTGACAGAACTGAGTCCACCAGAAAAGCAGAAGTGATACCCGTTTTTGGGCTCTCCAAAGATCAGTAACCTCAGAGATCAGCTCATTTGCCTAATGATGCCTTTGGGCAAATCATAAATCCCCATTTCTCTCCCTACCTGTAAACATAAACACAGAGAAAAACCCCATAGTATTTTTGTGATCCCAGCTAATATCTTTATCAGAATTAGAAAATGATTGTGGGAGAGGAAAACAAGAATCTAATCTGCTGTCCTCTGACTGACATTAACTCAGAAGATCTTTTGCTTCTCCTTGGGGAATCAAATGATTTTCTACCCACCCTAAGTTACATTATTAATGTTTATGCATTTGCTCTGTTCAAAAACAGAATAAAATTTAGCAATCTGAGTTAAGAAAATATATAAACATATAGTGAGTGTCTGCAGAGAATTTCTAGAGTATCCAGAACACTAGACAGAGAAGAATCTAACAGTTCTTCTCAAAAATAAATTCACAGCGTCCAAAAAATCAGGATCCATCTTATAACTCATAAATATATGATAGTACATAAATACAGCCAAGCAAAAAAGGCACAATGGTCACCTTTTTTTTTTGTTGTTTGTTTGTTTCATCTCTTTTTCTAAAGAGGTTATTAGAATGAATCTGCTATCTCTTTTCCAGGAAAATTTCATAATTATTTCCAAAAATTATAGTCACTATTTTTAAATAATCCTGTCTCAAAAAGAGAAGGCGCTTGAAAAGATCCCTGTTTAGAATAAAGAAAAAAAGGGAAGAAATTTAAGGATAAACCCAGATAATTGACTGAATTTACATACCACAAAGCCATAGTTTGTTTATTTCATTTCATTTCATTTTTATTTTATATTTTATTTTATTATATTATACTTTATTTTCATCCTGCCTTTGTTATTTTTATAAAGAACTCAAAGCAGCAAACATACCTAATGCTCCTTCTGTTTTCCTCATAACAACCCTGTGAGGTGGGTTGGGCTGAGAGAGAGTGACTGACCCAAAGTTACCCAGTTGGTTTTCAGACTAAGGTGAGGCTAGAACTCACAGTCTCTTGGTTTTTAGCCCGATGGCTTAATCTCTGGCTCTTTAAACAATGTTAACATTGTGTGTTTGTTTGTTTATTAGATTTATGTGCCACCCATCACATCTAGAGATTAAATAAACCATAGTAGCATTGTTCATACCTTGTCCATAAAAAGCTATCACTTGTAAATCAGAAAAGTTGGATTTATACATCACATTAAGACAAAAGCAAACAAGAGATATTAAGGAGATCTGTGAATCTGGTCAGCCTATGTGAAGAATTCATGAGGCATGGGCTGCAGGCAAATGTCAGAAACATTCCTGCATCCAGCCTCTATCCTTATTCTGGCATGATGTGAAGCCTCTCTGAAGATATATAAAATCCCTTAGGCTTTGTACCCCATTCCTTTGGGAGGGGAAATCAGGTAGCTGGTGCCAGAGACAAAAAGGAAACTGAGGCACAAGAGGCAGGCTAGGGGTCAATAAATGTCATGCCAGTATTGGCTCAGTATTGACAGGACAGCAGTGGCCAAAGTGGCCTTTAAATCTACTGAGGTGGCTAGAAGAGAGCCCTTTCCTTTGTCCTGCTTACAATGTCTATGGGATCTAGCCAGCAGAACTCTTCTTAGCTGGGCATAAATAAAGCTAGGATTGGTTCAGAAAAAGTAGCTGATGAAATGGGACTCCTGAGGAGGCCTTGGAGGAGAGACCTCCAAGGCAGCCTAATTGGAAGTACAAAATTGTGAAAGGAAAACAGAAGGAAACAAACAAAAATCAAATTTCTCTCATCTATATACTTTTTATTAAAGATTTTTTTTAGATCTAATTTCTCTCAGTGGATGGTAGCTCTTCTTTGTTGTCTAGTGTACAAGTAGTCGTCAACATACGGCCACAGTCGAGCCCAAAAATTCTGTTGCCGAGTGAGACAGTTGTTAAGTGAGTTTTGTCCCATTTTACGACCTTTCTTGCCACAGTTGTTAAGTGAATCATTGCAGTTGTTACTAATTAGCATTAGTAACAGGATCAGAGGTGGGTTTCAGCAGGTTCTGACCAGTTCTGGAGAACCGGTAGTGGAAGTTTTGAATAGTTCGGAGAACCGGTAGTAAAAATTCTGACTGGCCCCGTCCCCATCTATTCTCTGCCTCCCAAGTCTCAGCTGATCAGGAGGAAATGGGGATTTTGCACTAACCTTCCCCTGGAGTGGGGTGGGAATGGAGATTTTACAGTATCCTTCCCCTGCCACGCCCACCAAGCCATGCCATGCCCACCAAGCCACGCCCACAGAACTGGTAGTAAAAAAAATTGAAACCCACTACTGAACAGGATGGTTAAATGAATTTGGCTTCCCCATTGACTTTGCTTGTCAGAAGGTCACAAACAATGATCCCATGGTCCCGGGACACTGCCGCCGTCATAAATATGAACCAATGGCCAAATGTCTGAATTTTGATCATGTGACCATGGGGATGCTGCAACAGTCATAAATATGAAAAAGGGTCATGAGTCACTTTTTTCAGTACGGCTGTAACTTTGAACAGTTACTAAATGAACTGTTGTAAATTGAGGACTACCCGTACTGGTATTTGGTTGTACTTGGATTAGCCTCATCTAAGCCTCCTAAAGTCTCCTAAAGCACAGGTTGTAAAAGGGCCACAGTTGCCCACCCCTGTCCTAAAGGAAACCTCTTCTGAGAATGGAGTCTGTGAGGACCAAACTTCTTCGGCCTCCAAACCATTCATTTATTCCACTTTTCCCCGTCGTAGGATCTTTCCCATTGAGTCACCACAAAAACCATATTGGGGTGACATTTGATGGCCCACTGTCAGTTCCTGTCCAACCTCTGGGGTTTTTTTTCTGACTAGCTGATGAATGGCATTCTTCTTATTTTGTGCCCCCATTATATGATTATTGCTGGATTTCTCTGAGGTTTTCGTTTCTTTTCGTTTTGTTTTATCTGCCTTGCTGGAGGAAGGCAGCAGACCATAGAGATAGAGCATGATTAGAATGGCGGCAGACAAGAAAGATCAAAGCGCTGAGTTGTCCGATTTAAAACTTCTGATACAACGAAGGCCTAACAAATGGCTTAGTATGACTTGACCCCCTTATTATGAGTCCAGCTCCCTGTGACTCTGCGTGAGTCCTTGTTCTGAACTTCCTAATGTATTCACAACAAGGCCAGTGTAATGTAAGGCCTGCGGAAAAACAGCAGCTTCCTCTCCTGATCTGTGCAGCAAGGCAGTCTAACTCAAGGCAGAGAATTCTTTACTACCACACAGCTGGTTGGAAGAAGGCAAGGATAGAAAAAGACATCATGCAGAGAAACAGCAGGCAATGGTACCGTCAACAGATGCTTCACTTTCACAGTATGCAACATTTAATTATTATCACGGCAGAGTGGCCAATGTTTTGCAATGCACCGGTGTATTTTGCCAGTTTGGGAATAACTGGTTTAAAACTCCACACAAGAGAGGGAATCCAGGCACTTTGAGTGTCAGTCTTGCATATTCAGTGTTTTGTGTTGATTCCCAAACCCACTCACCTCCTCTCTCTTAGTGACTCTCAGCCTAGTTGGGGAATTCTGGGAGTTGAAGTCTATATACCCTGTTTCCCTGAAAATAAGACCTATCCCAAAAAATAAGCCCTAGCATGTTTTTATGCATGTGCCTAATATAAGCCCTACTTAAGAGCCTGTGCAGCCGACTGGCTGCTCATTCCATCTGGTTACTCGTGGTGCTGCAGCAACAAGGTGAGGCAGGAGTGGAGTTGCCCAATGCACCCCGCACCAGCTTACCTGAGGGCACCCACAGCCAGGCCATCCACGCCCCAACCCCTGCCTTGTGGCAGCAGCACCAACAGCCATGTGCAGCAGGAGCCCACATGGCCACTGGCCCACTTCTTCTGCTTGCTCGCGGCCACAATGGAGCAGGAGGCCTGGCTGCAGTCGCCCTGAGGTAAGCTGGTGCGGGGCACGTGGGGCAGCTCCACCCCCCCCCACCTCACCTAATGGCCGCAGCACCGGTGAATCGCTCAGCCTCCTGCTCCATTGCAGCAGCAAGCAAACAGAAGAAGTGGGCCAGTGGCCACATAAGGTCCTGCTGGATGGGGCTGCTGGAGCCGCCGCCACGAGGTGAGGCAGGTGTTGGGACATGTATGGCCTGGCTGTGGGGGCTCTGAGGTAAGGCAGTGCAGGCTGCAGCTCCGCCCCGCCCCCACTTCGCAGTGGTGGCACTGCCATGCCGCAAGGCCTCCTGCCTCATCGTGAGAAAGCAGAAGAAGTGGGTCTCCCGTACATGGGGAAAAAATTAGATACCTCCCGAAAATAAGCCATAGTGCTTATTTTGGGGCCCAAAAGAAAATAAGACCCAGTTTTATTTTTGGGGAAACACAGGTATCTTAAAGTTGCCAAGGTTGAGAAACATGTTTGCCTCTCTCTCTCCCCCCCACATTCTCCCCCCACACCTGTATATGTATATTGTATGTATGTATACATGTATATTTATATGTACATGTATACCCTATTTTTCTACTTTGAGGCTGCCAAATCCCACAAATACTAATCACACTGATTAATTTCCTCAGGAGGCGGGGAGCCTCAATTTAATCACAACCCTTACTGATTACCACTTTTGTGTTACAGTTTTTTCAGATCTCAGAATACAAATTCTGGGAAATCCAAGGGCAAAACACAGGTGACCTATGATTTGCTAACATAACAGTATTAGTATAATTGAGAAAAAAAACAATTAAACTGTTTCATGAAATTGCATCAGTAGGGACTGCCATCAAAAGGATCACATGTTATATCTATATTAAGGAGGAACCTCAACTCTTTGTCACTTCATGGACATATTTTTGACAACAGAAATATGGAAATAGATCCCCATTGCCTTCTTTAGGAATTTTTTTTTACCTATGGCCCTGGAATTGCCTGGTGATCTCCCATCCAAGTATTAACCAGGTTCAACCCTACTTAGCTTTTTCATGTTCAGTCTTTGTTCGCTAAGTACTATGATACTAATCAATTATAAAAGTACAAAATTAATTACTTTTATATTCTCCTATAATTAAGTGCCTTTATATATCTCCTTGAAATGCATGGAAATATCAATAGAAAATATTAGATAGAAGATTGTTGGCCAGATAGACCTGGATTGTGCTTTAAAAGAAAACTTGACTATACTGGAGGAAAAACAAGCAGCAAGAAACAAACAAACATTCTCACCACTTGATAGAACTGTGTTCAACTCTAATTGTATGGAATATATGATGCAGTGGTGAAATGTAAAATTTGTTACTACTGGTTCTGTGGGGGTGGCTTGGTGGGGGGTAATGTGACTGGGTGGCCGTGGCCACCTTTTTTTATTTTAAACTTTTAAAACCATTTTTTCTACAACCTCTTCTGCTGAAGAGGTTGTAAAAAAATGCTTTTAAAAGCCTCTGACGATCCCAGCTGAGCCGCACGATTATCAGAGGCTTTTTTTTTACTTTTAAAATCATTTTTTTCTGCAGAAGAGGTTGTAGAAAAAATGCTTTTAAAAATAAAAAAAAAAAAGCCTCTGATGATTGTCTGGCTAAGCCGGGCATGGGAGGGGGGGCAGTGCAGGGATTTTTGCTACTGGTTCTCTGAACCACCCACCGCCATTGCTACCGGATCGGGCGATCCGGTCCGAACCGGGAGCATTTCACCCCTGATATGATGATGTTTGTTAAGTATATTTCCCTCACTTCTCAGTTGGCTTTAATTTATTTTCTTTCCTGAACTTTGGACAACTCAAATGATAGACCCTCACATAAACAGTGTTTTACTATCTTTGCAGTCTGAGAACATTTTGTATGTCACTCAATTGATGTCAAGGGTGGGCTTAACATCAGCCCTCCTACTGGAGTGGTCAACAGTATTACGTTTCTGGGGCTGCAGATAACTAACAATCTGACTTGGTCTCTTTATACATTATCTTAAGGGTAGCGTGCAAACTAGTGTTTGTATTTCCTGCATCGGATGATGAGACCACATCTTTCTCCTTCTTTCCTGGCCACTCTTTACAGAGGCACGACTGAGAGTGTTTTAACAAACTGCATCACTGTTTGGTTTGGTGGTAGCAGTGCCTCAGATAGAAGGTCCATACAGAGAGTGGTAAGGACAGCTGAGAAGATTATAGGAAGCTCGCTTCCCGTTATTCAGGATACTACTTATAAGCGCCATGTGCTTAGAGCTCGAAGTATTGTTAGAGACCCTCACACACCCCACTTCACGGTCCGTTTCTGTTTCTCCCCTCTGGGAGGTGGTTTTGAAGTATTTATAACAGGACTACTAGATTCTGTAACAGCTTTGCTCTTTATGCCATCTTGTAAATTCACAGGATTCTTTTTTTTCGCCATGTATATCTATACATTCGAATTAGACTGTGGTGTTTCTCTGTGTCATATATGTGTGTGTATGTGGGTATATGCATAACAGTTATCTTTTGAGAGCTGAATGCAATGAAATTTCATTTTAATGCCTGCTGATTAGTGTACATTTAAAGTGACAAATCTATTCTATTCTATTCTATTCTATTCTATTCTATTCTATTCTATTCTATTCTATTAAGATATTAATAAAATCCTGATTGAGAAACTGGAGGGACCAGTAGTCAAGTTATTTTCCATTGGCCTTCTAACCACTTAGGATCTCTTCACAGCTCACACACACACAAAATGTGAGCTGACGGGAAGTTATTTTGCCTCCAGCGACCGCAGTAGACATGGCCACCGCAGCACAAAGCTCTGTGCTCGGATAGGACAGGACAATTCTGCAGTGGACCTAATGGAGCCATGCAAGTTGTCAACTACTTTCAGGCTCCTCCTGTTAAAGTCAGAATGATCACTTGGGAGAAGATTTTTCTGGGCAAGTTCAAACAATAGCATGGGAAAGAAAACTTTCAGGACCACCATGTGTGATAGAGATGCATTCTTCTACAAAAATAGAATATGGAATGCTGGTGTTTGATTTTGTAACACAACTACAATACAGCTTCCCATTTATTTAGATTCATTTAAAGAATCTTAAAAAAAATTAAGTCAAGTGGGGTAGGCAATCCAAGTGGCACCAGGGGAAATGCCACTGGGCACCATTTTGCTTATTCTTCCTTCAAATTTTTCAGTTTTAAAATCTGCCATGCCATTGTAGCAAACTTTAATAAATAGCCAGAGGAGGGCAAATTTCTAGGGCAGTTTCCCAACATTATATTCCTATAGAATTCACACACTCCAACTTGGCATAACAGTGATATGAAGAAAGAACACTTTATGCTTATAATTGTGAGCTTATTCATAACAGAAAGAGGGAGGGAGGGAGGGAGGGAGGGACGGAAGGAAGGTTATTTTGCACTAAAGGTTTTGGGACAACTGTAATCACATAAATCCGTGTTACTAACTGAACAACTGCTATGATTCACATCCATAAATTCTGATATACAATGACATTAGGAGAAATTTTCATTTCTACAAACATTTATTTGTAAAGTCAGTTTAAAGAGCATAAAAAAGTATAAATACAATGCCTTTATACTTCTCTTTATTTATATATATTTTTTTAAAGGGGAAACTAGCAGGCAGGGCTGTTTGAATGCACAGCTGTTCCGGATGCTGTCCAAGAACTCAGCAGCTCCAACCCTGCTTAGCCTTTTTCTAAGGTCATTTAAGGTCAGCTTGATGCCGCCCCATTATATCAGCACTGAATGGTCATGCCCAGTTGTCTTAACCAAGCAGAAGAAAAGCAGGATGGAATTTTAAAATAAGCAAGCAAATTGTGCAGGGAAGGAAGGAAGGAAGGAAGGAAGGAAGGAAGGAAGGAAAGGAAGGAAGGAAGGAAGAGAAGGAAGGAAGGAAGGAAGGAAGGAAGGAAGGAAGGAAGGAAGGAAGGAAGGAAGGAAGGGAGAGGGAGCAGCCCAGGAAACCAAACCTATAATTCACACAAATGGGAAAATGGGGGTGTCATTTTCATATTTATTTTGATTCATGGCAAATTGCCTATGTAGAATTAGCCACTATCAGTCCTCCAAGACTATGTGGAATTAGCCACTACCAGTTGTCCAAGACTTTCCAAACCAAACTTGGAAACCAAAGACACACAAAGGTATACTAATTTTAAAATAAGGTTATTGTAACACAGGGTTGTCAAACTGGTGGTCCGCGGGCTGGATGTGTCACGCGCAGGCCATGCCCACCGCAGGGGAAAGCGTCCTAAAACATCACATGACGGCAATGTGACGCCACGACTTTGACACCCGTGCTGTAACAGAAGCTTGCAAGTCTGATGTGCTTATCCTCGCTCCCTCCCTTTATCTTTATGAAAATTAGGGAGGGTCCCATATGAGGCACTTTTTCAAAGTACAGTTCTGGCCCGGACTCAGATTTCTTTTATCTGGCCATTGGCTTGGTTGCAGCTCTGCCTCCTGTTTCTCTTTCCATTACAGCCAGGAAGAATCTTTCATGTTCTTGGATTCCCCTCCTGACCCAGGGCTGAATCCAGCCATCCTGTCAGTGGATGTCACGGCAAGTTCTGGCTAGGAAAGCACATGGCTAGTTTGATGGAGATTCCAAATGTTGTCAAGTGAAACCTAAACCCATTAGGAAATATCCCCTTCCTGTTTTCCTAATGATCCAGAATTGCATAGAAAGATACTGCATGCAGCTATGAAATTCACATGACACATTTGACCTTCCTGAACTCATTACAACATCCTTCTTTTCCATACCTCTTTGCTTGAAAACGTGTGTTTGGGAGGGTAAGGTAGGAAGGGGGAAAAAAGCATGTAATGAGTAACCTGAGGCACATTTGGGACTTGGCTTCTGTTCCTATTGCTTCACTCCCGATTTCAAAAGAACAAAGGAACTAAAGTGTGATGATTGCATGTCAGTTGCATAACACAGCAGGCTAATTATTTTTAAATTATCCTGTTGTGGCTTAACCGCCTCCTTCTTTTCCCTGAAAAATCTATTTTAGTTCCTGTCTTTGCTGTTTGTATTGATGAGATTGCTGGAGAACATTCAAAGCAGGATGGAAATAATCAGAATAAAAATTGACTTGATCCCACGTGTACTCAATAGATACCCATTTTAATTGACTGTACTATCTGCCTTATTCTCTGTCTGTCGTTTATGCTGTCTTTTTGCATACTACTTATGCTTTTTTTTGTTTCTTTAGGTCATACACTACAGCAATAAATAACCATAAAAAGCAGAATCAAGTAAAATATCACAGTATAAAATTTTT